ACCCTCTTTCTCTGTCCAACAGACTGCCCTGCATCTTGGTCTTCCTGTTTAAAAAATGTTTAATGGTTAAATTTCATATGATGTTATCGTTATTCTGTTATGTTATTCTATGCGTGATGCTGGCACATACCTCTTTACTAGACTCGTCTGGGCTCTCTGGTGCAGGGGTTCCTAAGTAAACCAAGAAAAAGAAAAAGACAATCTGAGAGCAGCAGAGAAAGTGGTTATTGCAAGTTCACAGGACTCTGGCCATATCAAATAATGTTGGGCTGGGACTGGGAAGGGCCATTATAAAGAATTTAAAAACAGTTTTGAAGTGGTTTCTAACAGCTAACAGATGGCTAGTGACTATATGCTTCAGATAAAAGGATGTGATTATCTTACCCAATAGGACCATCGCTCCTGCACCGCCTTCCGCACCAACGGGGGCATCGGCAGTAGCCCCTTGGGCTTTGTCCTCCAAAGACACTAGGCCTGAATTCTGCAAGGCTGACAAATACTTGTCGTAGTTCTTTTGAGCATACAAATTCTCCTCTTGGCCTGCAACAGGGAAGCAAAACAGAAATTGCATTACATGTTTTAACTAAAATTCCCGAGGAAAGAAGTTTTACCAATAGAAACGTATGAAATTATAATGTAGGTGTTTCTTTCTCCGGTTTTGAAGTGTCATTATCCGTCACAAAGAAACACAAAAACATTACCTAAAACCAAGCAAGAAAGAAACCACTAAAATGATGTAATAGGCCAATGGAAATTAGGCCCACACAAACTCCAGTACAGATATTTACCCATGCTCAACTCCTTGAATGTTTGCTGATTGGTCAAGATCTTTGTCAATACAGTCCTCATCGCCCCTCCCATCTTTGTGAGCTCCTCCAGGAAGGAGATCTGAGGTTCCAGCTGCTGCAGGACCTTCTGCAGATCTCGCTCAGTTGATGTGTCTGGTAAAGCAAGATAAGTGATGTATCAGACTTGGTACATGGTGAACATAATAACATGTGAACAGTTGTAGAACACTCATATCCTGCTTGCACAGTTATTACCGTTTTGCACTTGATATGCAACAGTAGGTCCACATAATATACAACATATGAAAACAAGAGGAAAACATAGGAAATACTTTTAGTACTAGGATGATAAAAGTCAGTTTTTGCAGATACATAATTTGTTCAAGATGGCCAAAGTATATCCTCTCCTTAAGAGAGCACTGTGTGGCGTGTCTTCACCTGGTTCAATGTATCCATCTCTCAGATACTGTATAATGCAAAGGATAAAGTGAGGGAGAACCATCTCAGACATCAAGAGAAGGTCTCGAGGTATTGAGGGCACATTCTCCCCTGTTCTCAACCGATGCAGTCTGCAAAACCTGCAAGAAAAATAATAATATTTATATTAATGTTCCAGACCGGTCGTAGAATTCATAGCAGCCTTCTCCCTCCCATCTCTTTTTAATCTGGTTATTTTTTAAATTATATTACCATTCCAGTTAAATATATAAATGGATTTAAATATAATTTATTGCAATTATAAAATAATGTGTTTTGCATCACTCCTCCAATTTAGTACCGTGGTAATGATTATACACTATAGTCTCTAAAGAAGAAAGACTACAATTAATAATAACAATAATAATACTATTCTTGGCAACACTTGTGTTCAAGCAAATAACATAATAGAAAAAGGAGGTAAATAAAAACAATACTTACAAATGCAATAATAAGATATTATCGTAGCTTATCTTATATTAAGATATGGACTAAGCATCCATGAAGTTACATAACACAGAACACAGCTGGGGTATATAATAGGTACTGTTCTGGTTAGCCACACTAGCCCCTCAGAGCAGCGCTAACTTGACGTACTTAATCTCAATAATACAGCAGCGTTATAATATTCAAAACAGTTGCTGACAGGCAGTTGCGCATATCTCATACAGTAATACATGTACGCTAAATACAACACGCAAATAAGGAAACGCCATTGGCCAAGTTAGCTCACTTCAACTGTCAAAACGATACTCGCCGCTAGGTTAGCTTCGCCGGCTTAGCTAGCTAGCGTTAGCTCACCCACTCTCTCGCATGACATTAGCGTCTCCACAGTCACAGGCCCCACCCGCCTGGCTCCGGAACATGTTGAAATCATGGCCCGTGTGGTCTCCGTTGTTGAAGCACTCGGCGCACAGGGACATGCACGGCGAGATGCCGCAGGTCCTGCATCGGTACGCCACGAAATTCGCCGTCCAGACCAAGCCGCACAGGGTCGCGTTGTCGTAGGACCGGACGGTTTTGCAGAACTCGTCGAAACCTTCGCCGCCCGCGATTAGGCATTTACACCAGTCCAGGGCCTCGGTGTCCGCCGCTGGTTTTTCGGGATTTAGCACGGAGTCGAGCAGCTCCTGAAGTTGCCGGACCCCGGAGCTATTGTCGGCCCGATTCAAGTCTGCCTTCAAGTGGCCGGCGGTGGCTTTCTTGTCCCGGCGCGGCAGCGACGCCGCCATCATGCACTACGGCTTGTTGAGCACAAATTTATTTTTGTTGTCTTGCTACCATGTTCTCGGGCTTTCTCGCGGTACGAGCGGTTACGTTGGTCGTTTCGCTGACGAGTTTAGCCTTCGCTGGATGACGGGACACGAATCCGACTCAAGTATCCGATCGAGCGGAATCGAAAGCGTTCGTCCCGTTTGACCTGCTCGGTTGTTGCGGGGTGTTTAGTTCTCCCGTTTCTAGGTAACCGAGAGCTTCGTTTTGGACCGTCCGCCCCTGACAGACTGATGAAGATAGCACGTTATCTTAGTGCACCCGTGCAACACAGACAGAGACCCCCAAACTCGACTCCTTACAGCAATTGTTAGGCAAATTATGAATTATTTTTTAATAATTTAAGAATCCGCCTATATACAATTTTAGAATAAAATTCAGTTTCATGTTGTACGTACATTGTATTTCGCTGTGTATGTATTTCTCATCAATTTATTTTTTTTCTTTTATTAAAAATGTGTTATTGTTGGAATCTGAATTTAATATTAACATTACAATGTGCTTTTTATTTTTTATTTAATAATGAATTCCTATTCAGTGTTTAACCACCAGGGTGTTGTAAAGCAGTCATTATTAAGAGAACTGTTTATATACTGCAGAATACTTTGGATTAGGAGGAATAGTCAATAGCTGTTGAAAGGTGTAGCCAAAGTCATGGCATACATCCGTGGGCGTGTTTTTGTTGTTGCTATTGAGTTAAGTTGAGATTAATTATAATGCTCCATATTTATGGAAAATCATATTTAATAACTTGTATTATTTATAGACTTATATTGCTATTATTAGCAATCATATAAAATAAACACTTTTATGAATGGTATCACATAAATCATGGCATGTGTCCATGGGATTGTTCTCGTTGTACTACAACTGTTATTCTGAAAAAGTTTGCTTTTGCATATGTTTAATTAACTTAATTCTAATGCATCTAATGATCTATTGTCATTACATTTTCTTTCAGAACCACAATCACTGGATTAAGGAGCACTTTTATGAATTAATATACGCACAAGATATTGTATCACCTAAATAAATATTTGACCTAGCGGTCATTAGTCAAAGTCTGCTAGTATGGTTTGGTCAAACTAGTGCTATTGTACACCTACACTCACTGGACACTTTAGTAGGTACGCCTGGTCAAACACAAATTGCTATCACATAAAATCAAAAACAATAAATTGAGGCACGTAGAAAAGGGAGAGTTGAGCCATGTGACCTGCAGGGAAGAGGGAGGTATGTACCTCAATCAACAAATTATATCATATATATATTATATATAATAATCATAAATAATCAACAAATTAAATTGTTGGATTATACATTTAAGATTAAACTGTATAGATTAATATGTGCTGTAGAGTTAAATATAACTATGTAGCTTGACATTCAATTCTGCATCACAAGTGGATTTTTAGCGATAGAAAACGTAATAACTTCCGAAACTTTCAAAAACCTATGGATTGTTAAAACCTTAACATTATATGCGTCATCCACAAAACGAGGGAAATGTGGCGCTTACAGCCAAGCTACAGGCACCCATACCCATACTAACGTTTCATGTACATGAAATATGGAAACTTTGTTACAGACGGTCATCCTGTAATGGTTCAACAAGTAGTGCACACTTACTTACATTCATCAATGGAAGGCGATCTACTGGAACTGCCTTTGCAATCGACCTATTGGGAACCCCTGTCATCGATGGATGGATGTATTTAACGAGATATTGTACATCCTGGTCTGAGAAAAGAAAAAATGTAGAGTCCAGAGAGGAACAGTTTAGTGACACGTATACAGAGGAATAATTTGGAAATGTGAAGACACATCAAAATGTAATGTTCAAATCAAATTCTATAGACAAACTACCAGTAAAGGATCAACGGACAGATTATTTGATAATTGGTAATTGTAAGTTCTATTCTAAGAACGCTTTATTGATTTAACTGCTAGTTCTTTGTTTTAAGACGTGATGTACATTTATTTTTCGCATAGCTGCCTTTTCTCGCCAACTTGTTTGTTGGCGTCTTAAGAAGCAGGGTATATATTTCTTCATGTATTTTTGTATTTTCAACTGTTAAAGTTAAAGTAACTGTTATAATAAAATGTCTAATTCTGTGCTCGACCCTTTATTATGCTGAGCTACTTCACTGATGCAATGAGCTCACGGTATTTAAATGATCCCTACTACAATAAACATCTAAACTAAAGACGGGTCTCGATAAATTTGCCTTTTGAATTTAGTCGCTGAATCGAATTAAATGTTTACATCAAATACTCAAGATAACGAACCATTGCTAATCAAAAGAACATGTCATCAAAAATAACTACTGTAGTACAACAATAATGAGCCCACTTATATATAAAATTATTTTGGTCGAGCTACCATTCACAAGGTACACAAACAAAGAAATGCATGTAGGAACTACCATCACCTTTTCCAGGGTGGAAGCCGGATTGTTTTGATTGATGCACACTGCAGACATTCTTCCGGCAGTCGTCTTCAAACAAGCTGTACAGCGATGATGGCCGAGGAATACACGTTGTAAATAGTTATCTGGGTTGTGGCACACACAGACATTAATAATGAAGCTTAAAGAGTTAGAGAGTCATTTACAGCAAGTGGACTCGTTTAAAAAGCCGAAAATCCTTCTTGAGCAATATCCGACCAGTCCCCATATTGCTGGTGAGGCGACAACGTGTTCCCACTGAAGTGTTTTGATAGTGCACATTGCTCTCACTAACTTTATGTGTTCCCTGCACACAGCATGCATGCTTTATACAATCCAGAGCACGTTTGATGACATCGAGGGTAAACTAGTCGCAGATCTGGGATGTGGCTGCGGAGTCCTCAGCATTGGGGCAGCGATGCTTGATGCAGGGTGAGTGTGTCCGATCATCCAACACAGTCTTCATTACATCAACATCGTTGTTTTCAATGGCTTTATTCTTCATTTCTCGTTCTCTCTTATTCAGTTTGTGCGTCGGCTTCGACATTGACAACGACGCACTGGACGTATTCAGAAGCAATGCAGAGGGATTTGAGATTTCTAACGTGGACCTGGTCCAATGTGACCTTTGTTCTCTGGAGGATGGTGCTTATGCGAATAAATTTGACACTGTAATAATGAATCCACCATTTGGAACAAAACACAACCAGGGTGAGTACAGTTTAAAGAGCTTCTATGCCGATTTAGTATTGCTTCAATAAAATTATGGGAGTTCCAGATCAGTCGAGCAGATGCTGAGGTACCCGTGTTTAAGTTACTGTTGTGTGGGTCAAAGTATGAAAGATACAAGCCTCATGCTGCAAACGGATTGGCATCTCTCTGTAGGTACTGCTTTTCTGGTAAACTCCAATATGTATAGATCTCTACCCCACCTGATCTTACACTGCTATTCGGTAGTTAAATATAGAAATAGAATATATGTATTTTACCCCTTTTAATACAGTCCTGTCATTTTTCATGTAAGATAGGTTTTTCTTTGTTCCAGGGATAGACATGAAGTTCTTATCGGCCGCTTCAACCATGGCAAAGACAGTCTATTCACTCCATAAGACTTCAACACGAGAGGTGAGTAGGGTCCGGTCCGCAATGTCATACATGCAATTTCAAACGGGTTCAGGATCTACTCAGCCGCAGATTTCTAGATCTATTTTTGGGTCAAAAAGTGAAAGACAGGATTCTTTTGAATGTATGGTTCTGAATCAGATTTTTTTTTTTTCTTATCTAAAAAGGTGTAACTTTACTTTTAAGCCCCACATCTACATCTGTAGTAAGAGGATTGATGAAGGTTAAAATACTTGTGATTACAGCACATTCAAAAGAAGGCCAATGACTGGGGAATGAAGATGGAGGTAATAGCAGGTAAGAATAATACGGTGCAGCTTGACAACAAATCAAGTTCACACGTTGACTATGTGTTCTCTTTACAGAACTGAGATACGACTTGCCAGCATCTTACAAGTTCCACAAAAAGAAGACGGTAAGGCAGCTAAGTGTTTAGGCTTGACTGACAAAAAAACATAAGCACACATTAGATTTATTTTGGGGGGTTTATTTGCTATTCACATATGGAAACTTAATAAAAAATAAAATCAAAAAAGAGCAAAGCAGATTCTCATCATTCACTGTAGGGATTCTAACAAAGGAAAATAACTGTCACACAGGTCTTACACGACATACTAAATGTTCAGGTGTAATTGAATTGATGTCAACGTGCAGATTTGTTGGATAATAAAATCAAAAACATGTTAAGAGAAATATAGGTTTACAGATGAGAGGCACAATATAAAGACTTAAAAAGCTGAAAATTGACCATGTTTTGAAAATGGTTCTCTAGGTTGACATCCAGGTGGACTTCATACGATTCTCCAAAGCCTGAAACTTCACTGGAATGGATTCAAGTGGCCTCTGCATTTTCACCGTTAATAAATCTTTTCACAAAAATTCTGCGTGCACTTGTGACCATGTGACTAAGATCCGTTTTCAGTTTTGGGAACCTTTGCTGCGGGACCATCATTGTCCTCTAGTTCTCTCTTTGGGGCAACCGGTTCTGGAGGAAAAACAAAAAAAAAAGTAGTCGAGATAGTCAGGCATGCAGGGGCCAAAGCAGGTTATAAAGACTACTATAAATGACACTTACTTTCGCCCTCATCGTCGCTTTCAAATTTAGTCTTTTTGCCCTTGTACTGACTTCTGCCTTGATCTCTTCCACCTCTGCCACCTCTTCCCCTTCCTCTTCCACCGCCACCTCTTCCCCGACCACCCGATCTTCCTCTGCTGACTTTAAAAAGGACAGGGCAGCTACATTAATACAACGTCATGCCTTACAAATAGTTTAGAAGTGTAAAATATGAAATGGCATTTACCTCTGTTTTTGGAGCGGTTGTATGACTCCTGCTGTGCCTCGATAATATTCTTCAGTTCAGCTTTCTCCTCATCTCCATCAAGTACCTGCCAGTTCACACTGTTGTCCTTGATCTTCAATTCCCCTCCGCTTGCTTCCTTGGCTTTGTCGAACGCCTCCGTCGCATTTCCGTCGAAGAGGAGAGTGCCCTTGTTGAAAGTAAAAACAGGATTAAAATGACGTCTCGCCTTTCTACCCAGAGTGCGTAGACTGTTTTAAGAGTTTCCGTACCTCTTTGGCCCCTCTTGTAAAATTAACCCACTTAATCTTTCCATGCCCCGAGAACAATTCATGGAAGTCCTCTCGTGACACATCTTCTAGCTCTCCTGAAAACTTCAACAAGCAACCCGTCTGTTCATCCAAAAGCAGACCCTGCGACACAAAGCACCAAATCATTAATACTGTGGCAAGAGTCCAGCAAAGTGCAAAGCTCATTAGCCATACGGAGCAGCTTACCATTTCTTTGTCTTCAGCATTTTTCTGCTGCTGTTCCACGTTCCTAAACGTTTTATGAGGATCGTCAGTCATTTCTCAAGAATACACAGTATGTTGTCAGAAAGTACGCATCGCGTGTACTCACTGTTTAGCTTTTGCTTTTGTCGCGGCTTTAAATTGTTTTCTCTCTTCTGTTTTCTTTACATGGTAGGCTTCTCTGCAAGTAAAACAGCAATGACATTTACATGGTAATATTCAGAAGTTTGTGTTGCCAGAAAAGAAATAATCCTTTTCTAGATCAGATGTTCAACTCAGCTGGAAAAACACCAACTTTTGGTGCACTTAAGTTTCTGGAAATGAAGCATTGGGAAAACGATAAACCCAACTTGTTTTTAAAAAGGGGTGTTAAACGTAGCCGTGATCATAATCCATGTTTGAAGAAGCCCTAAAAACACGTGCCATTATTTGTATTAGTGGCTAACACATCACATAATGTGCTAACATTTCGCAAATCATAACAGCAATTGATCAATTATCCACTGTGGATACATGTTCATCCAAGAAACTTTACAACTTACCGTGACAACACAAGCATCTCGTTGTCTTTGAAGGATTTTATGTCTGAACGTTCTAGGAACAGCTTTGATGACTCCTCCGTGTCAAAACATATGAACACTGATCCCTATAAAAAGGAATACATTTAATTAGACGAGTCTCCCAAACTCCCAGGGAAAGTCTAAAATTGCAATTGTTAACGTGAATTGACCTTGAACTGCCTTTGCAGGGTTCTCCTCATCTGAATGTTTTCTATGGTGCCTTTTGGATTCAGCCACTCCTGAATCTCATCAAGGGAAATGTCGAGGGGAAAACCTTTCTAGAATTGAAAAGATGAGAATGCGGAGAAACATTAGTACAATCAATACATATAGCAATACAAGAGAAAATGTTTGTACAAACGCTAGCTAGGAAAACACTGTCCATAGCAGCCGAAGCTAATACAGTCATGTACAACAGCACTACAAATAGATTCTAATTCAAAGGATATAATGTTCAGTTTTAATTGGAACCGTTTTAGATTAAGTGTTATTAGGTCCACCCTTATTCTATTGATGAGCATAGGCTAAGACAGGAAGACCTGTTCAGCAGGATTACAAACTGCAGCCTCCAAATGATCAAACTGAAAACGAACCTTTGTGAAAGTAAAATATATCACAGAACTTGTTTTTATACTTATATATATATATATAATATATATAATATTATATATATATATATATATATATTAGCAAAACTCAAACCAAAGACAAGCGTATGCATGCAATTAAAAAAGGAAAATCTTACCATGTACACAGATTTCTGTTTGAGTGTGTCTTTGTAATCATCATTCACTTCTGGTAACGGCTTGTCTGGTGACCTCCGGACCTTTGTCTTGTCTTCGCTCACTTCCAAGATACCGGTCTTGGATTTCTGGAGAGCTTCAACAATAACGCTGGTTTCTGTAGTTAAACATTTCAGTCTGGAAAGAAGAAAAAACAAATATTCTCTCAAAAAGGGAAAGTGAGGCAAATTAATTACTACTTGACTGCTCTATCAAGTTATTCAGTTTGATTAGAAAGTTAATTTGCTGACTCGTACAACTTGACACTTTAATTAGTTGGATTTGGCCAAGCTGTCAGTAAGATGCTCACTAATTGTAATGGCCCTGCATTAAAACCTTACATTTGGACAAATTTCACATTCACTTCTAGGAGAGTCTTCCTATATGTGTGCGTGATGGGGTTGGGGACAGGGTCAGGTCATGTGCTGATCTTGCCTATGTCATACAACGGCCCCACAAAGTGTGAAGTCATCACTGCCTTTCTCACGTTTTTAGTTGATGTTGCCCTATCTTGCTATGGAAGCATCAGTAACTGATCAGTCATGTCACGCAGATGAGACCCCATTCAGGGAGGTCAAAACTAATAATTCCTCTTCAGCTGTAAAAAACAAAAGGACACATGCATTGCAAAATAAATTGCCACAGCGTTAATATTTAATGTGTATATATACACACAAAAACAACATGTTGGTCAGTGGCAGCTGTTTTGTACTAATGAATGTACTAATGAATAAAATCCTAGTACCAATCCCTAAAAAGGATTGCTTTTTGTTAATTAATCAAATGAATACAAGTAGTTGTTAAACACCATAGACCGATAAAAACAAGGATAACACACCTGTTGAATTTGAGCATCGTCTCCAAAGTCACCCAGCCATCATCAAGTTTCAATTGCTCTTTGAGAAACTTGTCTCTGGGAAGATTGTGATCCCCAAAGTAGTACTGTGGGTCGGGAATGAGTCATTTTTAGAGCTGAATTACAAAAGGGCTTTTACAAAATATATAATCAAATACCTCAATTTGTCGGGCCACTTTCAGCTCAATTGGAGACATCTCTTCTTGCTTTTCTGCCATGATTGCTCTGCGCAGAAAACAGTAATACGGATTATTGTATTTATATACCAACAGTATACCATGTTACATCTAAAGAAAACAAACACAAGTTGGCAGTCAAGTAACCAATTAAATTGAGAAAAACATTCTCTGGTTCCAGCTCCTCATAACTCATACATATAATAGAACTTAACTCGTAATGTGGGAACAGCTTTTCTCTCATATCGCTGTAAACGGATTCCCTTTATTGGTTTAGTTCAAATGAAATAAAAACAAAAGCAGTGTGTTTTAAACAAAGCATATACGTTAAAATTGTCACGAAGAGAAGTTTTTATTTTGCCCGGATGTAATCATGCAGCAAGCCAACATGCTAGCTTAGCGTAATTAGCGTTGTCTGCAGCAGCTGTACACCGGCCACGCTGCGTTCGCACCGTAGACTTTAGCTAACGCTAGCTAAATGGTTCGCGCACGAAGAGCGAAGTCACTCGGCTTATTGAATCTAGAAAGGGTGACAAAACACGTTTTATTCAGTGGGACATTTATTTAACGTTAGCCCGGTTACATTAACGTTAGTCATTTACATTCGGAGTTGACGTTACTCCATATTAGCGAACCATGCCGCTTAAACACGCAAGACGAAAGAGCCAAGCATTACAGTTGTTTTATAAACTCGCAGAACCCTTCAAAGAATATATACAGCTAATATACACCATGAAGAAATCCGCTCGTGCTTACTGGAAAAGTTACTTACGATACGTTGAGTCTCCGCTTGCAGCACTTTTAGCCGTTCAGAGCCTTGACTTCTCTGCTCGCACGTTGTGGAAGTGCGTGCTACGGCACCCGCCGAGGACCAAAAAGAGTTCGTCCATGCGCTGCTCCGCCTGCCTGTCACTCAGCAGCTGCAGTCACTTAACGTTACATCTGTCACAGCACCACGGTGTTTTTGCACTTTTCTATTTTACGCATACCGGTTTGGGGTTGTATGTTATTCTTAAGATTTAGCTACACTTATTAAATACAATTATTATTTACATGTTATGCCACTTTATGCTTTTACTCAACATGTCGGTGTATTATCATCATTACTTGCCAAATGATATTATATACATTATTTTGAAACAAGTCCTCCTCCACAATGACTACATTTATATACATGCCAGTTCTTCTTTTGAGCACCAATGCACTTTGGTACTTTTCGATGTTTAATCTATGGCATGGTAGCATCATGGTATTGTAACTTAAGTAGAATTTTCCTATACGTTTTTTCCACCACTAGTCAGAGGCGTATTGGGAACATAGTGTTTGTGCTTATTGATGTCCAATTGAGAAACGAGACAGCTGCTACATATTGTATGCTCTGATCAAAGTTTCAAGCAGAAACGCGTGGGCAGTTTTGTCGTGCTGTGTTGTTCCAATATCCCAAATTACATAGATTTCTTTATTATTGTAAAGCGCCTTTTGTTGTATAATGCTTTATAAATACATCAAATACGTTAAATAAATTCTGATTTAAATACAACTTTCATCAAATATGATATAAATGCGGACAGATGGGATGCAGCCAAACTGTACAAACAATGTGATAAAACGTATATAGTCCAATGTATGCTATAAAGCTCAAATATAAATTCAGGAAGAAATCACATTATACTGGTAGTGATTTATTTAATCAAGTAGTAGCACAGTTTTATTAATAAAGGGAACCTTGTGTACATATAAAGTCAATTTGAATATTGCTCATAGTCATTTTCTGTTCAATTATTTCTTTCATTTAAAACAGAAAATACCCCAAGTAAAGTGCTAAATATGAAGCCCCTGAGTTTAAGTGATACTTGTTATTATATTCACAAATGGGAAGCTCTCCATAGCAGCCCTAACACAGAGCTAACCCAAGATCATGTGTGATATCTGACACGAGTACAGTTCACAGTCTGATCCATTTGGCACAAACGTCTGTGATACGGATTTGGCCACGCTGTTTAAACACTGTAAACACAAACACTTCCATGTGATCTGGCCGGGCTCGGCAGAGTCCCCACAATCTCCCAAGAGTCCAGCTCAGGGTTGTATTTCTCAATGGTCTGCAGGTAAGTCCCTTTGGAGTAGGAGTAACCCCCCGTCACGTAAATGCAACCATTAATGACCACCGCCCCACACTCCATCCTCCTCTCCTTCATCACCGATATCGGTCTCCACTCGTCTCTCTCTATGTCGTAGCAGTCTGCCACAGTCGTCTGTCCGCCCACCAAATACAGTTTGTTGTTGAGAGACACGGAACACAGCCCGTACTCTGAAAAGAAATAGAGGGTTTCAAATCAGATCACAGCAATCAGCATATTTTTATACCTGTCTCCTGCTCATACCTGGATGCGGACTTATTGTAATGATACTCCACTCGTTGACATCTGGCTTGTAGACTTGGATTTTTTCATATGTGCAGTTTCCTCTGTACCCATAGTGACCGCCGGTCACATAGATCTGATCTCGCATAACGCAGGCAGTGGCATTTCCTACACCTGCAAAGTAAACAGGGGTTAGGGATTAATTAATCAACCATTCAGGTTAATAAATATAAATGATTTAAACCTGCATTTGTTAATGTTTTACCCAATGATAGAACTATCGCAGTGAAGTTGTGGGCCATCAAACCAACACAATGAGCAGGAAACATGTACTAGTGCAGCTTTAAGTTGAAAAGAATGTGAAACATTCATTATTCAGCTTTTACATCAATTGAGCAAACTCCATCTAGTGATCACAGAACCAAGATGTGGCTGAAAGCTCTTAAAGAATAGCACCCGGGTTAAGAACTCAATCATTGAGGTCCAACATTTGTTCTTGACCTGAAACAGCAGTTGAGAAAGGCAAAGACATCTTCCCAAGTTGCAACCGATTCGCATGATCTCCGTCGGCAAATAGAAGCGGAAGAGGAGGATCATGTGAAGTGATTGAACAGCTACCAAACTCTGTAGAGAGATTGTCAACACCGACGTGTTCACCGCTTGATAGTTTGCATACCTTGGATCATTTTGGCCAAAGGGGACCATTTCTTCTTCAATGGATCATAACATTCAGTATCCTGCTCTGGAGCTCCTCCTCGATATCCTCCAATGACATAAATACAGCCATGCAACGCCACGGAGCAATGGTAGTATCTAGCTGTGTTCATGGGGCAGCCCTCGGTCCATTCGTCATAGTCACAGTTATAAACGGAAACCGTGTCCAGAGCCTCAACGGTGTTTGTCCTGTAACCACCGGTCACGTAGATATTTGCTCCAAGTAAACTGACGCTGTAGCTCTCTCTGCCGTGCTCAGGCATGTCCTTTCCTTGCACCCAGGTGTTACTGATAGGATCCCATATGTGCACCTCACACAGCGGGTGCCAGTAATATCCCCCGATGATATACATGCTGGAGGACATTTTTCTGCTCGCCGACACGTCTTTGCCATTGGACCGCAAAGCCTGAACAATCGCAGATTTAAAAACGTCTTCGCTGTTCGGCAAACGGTGTCTCTGCACCTCTAAAGCAGCCTTGAAGTAAATCTCATCGAGGTCTAAGTGGATGGAGAGCAGCAGCTCGGCGGAGCAGCGGGCGCGGTTATGGAAGTCGTGGGTCACCCATTTGGCCACAGCATCTATCAGCACGTCGTCCCTCTGCACGGTGAGGTTCTGGGCCGCCAAAACTGATCCCAACCTCCCGCGATCCAGCTCCAGGAACTCCTCCTGCTGGATGAGCTCCGCGAACCTGCTCACCATCACCCTGCGGGCCTCCCTCTCCAGGCCGGCGCACAGGTGCAGCTCGGCGAAGGCGTGCATCCCCAAGCAGTTGTCCACGTCCAGGAGGCGAACGAGAAACTCCTCGCACGCCCGTTTCACCGAGACAAACTGCAGCAGGTCGGCGGCCTCCAGCAGGCTCTGCACGTTGCCCTGGGTGATGCTCAGCTGGGCCGTGTACACGTAGTTCACCAGGGCGTCCATGACCCCGCAGTCCACCCCGCTGAGTTTGACGACGGCGTTGGACCTCTCCCTCATGTCGGCCGTGAACATGACCTTGAAGTAGGCGCTGCGGGCCGACAGCAGCGCCCTGTGGCAGTGGAACACCCGTCCGGACTCGCCGCATTGCAGAGCGACGTCGGTGAACAGGCCGCCGACGTAGAAGCGCCTCAGAGCGTCCAGGAGCTCCGCCGGGTGGTCGCCATCACAGAAGTCATGTGTGTAGAGATCAGATTGCTTCTGGGACATGGTCTCTGGGGGAGGGGGGGGGAGGAGAACAAGGTGAGAGCATGTCAGCGTTCCGGTGACACACTGTTCCTAGAGAACGGGCAGCGTGGCATTTATGTCATTAATATACGGCTACATTACCTCTCATGCTGTTTCCACCGACGTCCCCCTGGTTCAACGCTCAACAGTGTGTCCTCTATTTGAACGCTCCTCTTTAAACACACAGACACACACACACAGACCTCAATTTAGCTCGTGCAGGACTGTTGCAGAGGCTCTATCCTATTTTGGTATTTATGTGCAGTGGCCATCCCCCACTGCCCCTCTCCTCTCCTCTCCTCGTCTGCAGCATTTCTCCCCCCAGCAGGTCCCCGACAAAAGCCCAGCGATCGCTCAAAGGAATCGACCCACACGAGACGTTTTGTATAATACAACCTCAATCCAGTGTCGGCGGGCACATGCGTGGACCGGACAGGCGCAGAAGTCACAATATTTCTATTGCAATGGCATCCAAAGGAGCGTCGCCTTCAGCCGCGTTCCGGGGGGGATTTATCGCGCTGCTCGCGATGCGTGTTTCGCCTCACTCTTGCCGTTGCTATGGCGTTTTGAACCCACTTCGTGGTCAAGGCTTTGCCTAATCCCAACAAGGATTACCAGCGCGTGCACGATGCCTCGCACACAACGAGTCTTATTTTCAGGAGATTATACAGCCGATAAAAAAGAAAACGTGTTTTTTTCTTCTCTTATTTCCGCTCATAGACACTCTTACACAAGTAGAAGTGTAACGTATTCAAAGTAAAAGTTTAAAGATGATTATTTCCACATAATTGTTGGTTTTTACTGTATTTGATTGAGGTGGTGTTCAATGTTCATTTTTCATTTACATTATCAGATTTCATCTGCTGATTGATTTATCCATTCATTGATCCGTTGATTGTTTTGTAAAAAGAAATCTGAAAAAAGTGAGGAATGGAAATTAATGTTACTCTAATATCCAAATTACTCAAGAAAAAACAATTACTACACAATGCAAAGCAGGTGCTTTATGAACACATTTAAAGCTTTTAACACCTTCCATTATGTTTATTATATTGCAGTAAAAAGTGCCATGAAATTAAATAAATAAATGAAAGTAGGACCTCAAATTTGCCCGTTAGTATTGTACTGAATGTAGACAACTTCTTGCATCACTAAGGGACCGAGTGAAAATTGGATTCAAATGACTTGTGTCTTAACGTCAACAACAGCTAAGAATATGCCATCCAATAATACAATTAACATATACGAGTGTAGAAATACTATTTTTCACGCAAACGATTACATTTCAAAGGCGCAATCATAGATATACTTTAGGTACTAAACGTAAACTGATTTGAGTGGACCATTTCAGAATATCATACATTGCATTACCATATCATAATTGATGTATTAATATATATACATTAAGTTTTGTGGGTGGTAACGGTGAGATTATTTTTTTTTATATTTAACTATGTGAAGTACATACTAAACGTTTCACCAAAAGGACCAATGAAGTTATCTTCCTCCAGTATAGTAACTCATTATGTTTTCTGATCTGAACCCTCAACAGTAATAAGAAACATATGTTAAACAAATTAAATATAGCGTACTGAAATGTACAATATTTCCCTCTGAATTGTGAAGGAATAAGGAAACACCTACTGCTGTTGGGTAGTTTTACCGGAGATGTATCGTATTTGAAAAGCTTTCACAAACAATGCAATGTGATGCAATACCCTTTTTTATATTAACGTTTGTAAAATAAAATTTAAACTTTAAACAATACAAATTGTATTACAATATAGGCTGTTGGATTAGCTGTTGTATTAGATTGAATGAAACTGCGTGTGTGATTACTACAAAAAAAAACCTGTAAACAATTGTTCTTACAGTGATTTAGTAACTTTATTCTACATCGCTTGTCTACAAACTGTCAACTGAACATCACATGAATTTATCTTTACTTCAAAAATAGATGTAAAACACACTGGAATGTTACCAAAACGTAAATTTTTTAACCACAAACGTTAGTTGTAAACCCTTGGTTAGTTGTAAACCCTAAGACCAAGATGGATCAATTATATTAGACAATCTAGAAGATTCATGGACAGCATCGGTGCCGTCATCTAAATTGTGATCTGTGCGGCCTCCTTCACCAGAGGCTGCAAGGCACTGAGGTCTCTGGGGAGAGAGGACACCCCCACACAATACCACAGATCCCCAGAGCGCTCTGCTGGAGCGCTGAAGGACTCAATCTCCACTCCCTCTGCGGCCAGGAGTCCTAAACAAAGAGCAAATCCACACGAGAAACAGTGTTGTCAACTCCCATCTGTCAGCGACACAAACGCACACTATGCTGCATCCGTTTCTTACCAGCCACTGAGGAGAGGAGCTGAGGACTCGGGGAGGCCTTGAAGAACAGCAGATTTCCAGCCAGAGAGACCGGCTGTCTGAACACGCTGTCGCTCAGCTGCAGCAGGACGGGCACGTCGCCCTGCACTGCACCACCGGCTTTGTAGCCGCAGCCGGTGGCCTCGACCTCCACCGTGCACACTCCACCAGCAGCTCCGTCAGACGCACAGTGGGACTGGTTCACCTGAAAGGTCCGTATCGAGTGCTTACTATTATTTTTTTTTTTTTAAAGATTGTCATGCGGCACTTGCAGGAATGAGAGGGTGTTTAACCTCGATGCCAGACTCCTTGGCTTGGCTCAGCACGTTGATGAGGTTCGGGCAGCTGCCAGAGTCACGGCTCAGCAGTCCGACCAGCACTGAGGAGGTCATGTAAGCAGTGGAGGACTTCATGCAATCTCCTGGTTTGAAGAAAACAGCACATTAAAGAGTTAACTCACACTGGAAAGTGAGACAGTATAAAGCAAAAAAGGCTTTCAAGGAAAAACATACAACGGTTGCTTTTTTCCCCAGTAGTAATTTCCCAATCGTACCACCAGGGGGAGGAAAACGCATCACAACGTTATCTCCGTCTCCAGCTTGGACAAACCGGTCTGGCTACTTTAGATTAGAAGGTAGTTTTACCTCGTGTAGTGATTCGCACGTGTTTGAATGGTTTCTTCGAAGTAGCGCAGGACTGCAGCACAGCGCCGACGGCTTCTCCAAGTTTGATCAGCTGGTGGGAATCCTGAGAGAACGTGCTGGCCAGAACCGGTGCATTTACCTGCAAAAAAAAAAAAAGGAGTCAAGGTTATTTGGGCTCGGTAAACAAATTGTGTATGTGTGAAGTAGCTGATAAAAACACCTGTTGCTGTCATTTGAATGGAATCACATTGTGGTATTATATAGTGTGACACACATAGTAATCTATGAGGAGTCCAACATAGGCTATGCGCTATATATTCTTTAATCCATCTCTCACACAAAACTACTGAAGTTCCCATTTGAATATTCTTCGCAGCAATGACTCGTGACGTGAAGTAAGTGGTTGGAACCCGTACAGAAACCACCCGGCAGAACTCACGGCTCCAACCAGCTTCCTGCCTTTCACCATGTCCACAATCTGCAGAGCGATGTCCTCCCCGCAACGGGCCTGAGCCTCCTTCGTGCTGGCGCCCAGGTGAGGACAGCTGATGACGTTGGGATGGTCAACCAATGGGCGGTTCTTAGGAGGCTCCTGTGGCCAAACGCAAACAGAAAAAGCAACAAGTGTGATTGGGCAACTCTTGTCAGCGAGGGAATAATAGTGTTGCTTTATGCCAATCTTGCCTCCACAAAGACATCGAGCCCTGCTCCTCCGCACTGTCCGGACTCCAAAGCTCTGAGGAGGGCCGCCTCGTCAATGATGCCCCCCCGTGCACAGTTCACAACCTTCACTCCCTTCTTGCATTTAGCAAATGTTTCATCCCCCAACAGACCTTGGACGAAAAAAAACAAAAAACGATTGAAAGCGAACTCATTTTTCTGTGCAGTTGATGGCGGCTGCACGTGAAACCCACCAACAGTAGAGGGCATTAGGGGCGTGTGCACAGTGATGTAGTCGCACTGGGGCCACAGCTGCTCCAGAGACATCTGCTCCACCCCCCAGCCGGCGGACACCTCAACCGGAGTGATTGGATCATAGCCGATGGTCTAGAAAGAGAGAGAGAAGAACTGTTCTCGCCGTGTTTGCTGAGTCTACGCATCGACGTGGGGAAACGTTTCACCCGTCTCGGCGTGTGGAATCGCTCTTCACTCACCCTCATGCCGAACGATTGCATTCTGGAGGAGACTTCCTTTCCTATTCTTCCGAGTCCAAGTATTCCGAGTACTTTGCCGTACAGCTCTGCGCCCATGAACTGCAAAAATGAGAAAACAGACCTGTGACCCAGCGCAAGTGTCGCACCCGATTAGTGACGATGGGCCGAACAACGGAGGCGGCCGCGCATAAGTAATCACTTTGAGTGCCGACTGCAAACACGGTCCCGCTCAAACAGCGCGTGGGGGGGCAAAACTAAAACCTCTGCGTACCTTTTTGCGATCCCAGTTGCCTTGTTTCATCGACATTGCCGCTTGAGGCACATTTCTGGAAACAGAATGAAATGATTTCCGTACGGTTCTTCTATACAAGTGTAAAAAAAAAAAAAAGTTGCATGTCGACAGTTGCTCACCTTGAGAGGCTCATCAGCAGAGCACACGTCAGCTCGGCGGCACTGATGGTGTTCCCGCTCGGTGTGCTAGAGAAAAAAAAAAAAAAGAATAGAAGAGAAGAGAAAGGTATGTGGTTAATGGACAGTACAGTGTGGGAACTGCAGGATCCAAATTGTGCGCAGACTGGAAACTTACTTCATGACGATAATGCCCTTCTTGGTGGCAGCATCAACATCCACATTGTCTACGCCGGTTCCGGCCCTCCCAATGATTTTGAGGTTGTCAGCAGCGTCGATGACATCGGCCGTTACCTTCGTGGCAGATCGAACCACGAGGCCGTCGTAGTCCTGGTGGGCAGGGGGATATTTGGTTGACCTCATGGTGTTTGACATATGTGGTCATCCTACTCTAAACTAGACTAACAACTGCAAAAAAATGTCATGTCAAGTGTCACGGTAATTTCTACCACAATAAACCAACATGATAAGCCTAAAACAATACACATTTCTTTACCTTCTACACAAGTACTTCATTCTAGTGAATTACCTGTATGTCTATGCCAGTACCACAAGCTAAGATTGCTGTTTGTTTGGGCTAATGTGAAAGCCGAAACGACCGGACTGGGACTGCCTGAAAAGGAGGGCCTCGGCCCGCTTCCAGTGCCGAACCCTTGAGTGAAAGCAAATGGGCTGACCCACCCGAAGGCCTGTGTGATAGCAGATGTGGGTCTTTTGCTTGAAGAAATCCAATAGCTTGACTACAGGTGATCGTGAGCTGTTAATAAAAGTGATCTCCTCGGTAAGAGTGGCATCAGACATGTATTGTCTCCATTATTATGGTGCAAATGCTTCTTTTTGTCATGTTTCCCGTCTTCCATCCCTGTTTATGATCACCGTTTGACTATTAATGTTCACACAGATTTACTTTTAAGCATCTAATCACTAAGACAAATAAACTCACGAGATGCAGAAATGAACAGTAATCTAATCGATCAGTCATCTGTGGCTAAAACCACTGCTCACTTTTGGCACCACATCCAGTCCTGATTCCTCAGCAAACCACTTAAATCCACTGAGTCAGCACAAATGCAAATGCACAGCAACTTATTCCAACAAAAATAACTTGCACAGCCCTTTCATTATGGCGATCCTATCTGCCAGTCGGCTGCATGGTGGCAGCCGGGAGAAAAAGATGGTGCAGCCGGTAAATTGAGGGATGAGTTGCATCAGCTTCTTAGGAGGCGGTACTAAATGTACATTCAATTGTCACATCTTAACCGCGCACATACGTGTCGGGCTCAGAGGGAAAGTGCGAGTACACAGAAAGTAAAAAACTTTGCACGAGAATGCAACTGCGCAACAAGCGAGTGCAAACTTTACCTTAATCTCCGCCATTAATTCATCCCTCTTCATGTTGGGTTTTTCCGTAACTCGGATGCCATTTTCCTCCAGAATGGCCCTGCAGCGCGGGTCAACACTTTCACTGATCAACACGGTCTGGATGGAGATCGGGGCCATGATTGAGGGGGTTTTCCTGTCGGGTTGCTGGTCGCAGGGTGCCGGGTGTTTGGTGGCGCTTGTCTCGGTGAGCAGATGGACGCAGCGGAGGGAGGTCGCTCTTCTCTCTGACGGGTTTGAATGGTTTTTCTCGCGTTGAAGACGCGCCCCTTTTCGAACTGAACCCGCCCCTCGAGCGTCTCCTGGTGTGACGTCAGCGTGAGAGGAGGCGCAGTGCGCGGCGGGCCAGCTTCACACACACACACACACACACACACACGCTAGGACAAGTTTGATGGGATCGTCGAGTCATCGGTTGACAGGACCAGAGCAAAGTTGAATGACAAATAGATATAAAAATCATACAAGTATTCATTATGCAAGGGATGGACCCTTTCTGTTGTATGCTATTCTTTACTGTAAATGTGTGCATTTACATGCAAAAAGCAATTAAACGTTTTCATTTTGACTGACTGTATCTTTGGTTTCCCCCTAGTATTGGATCATTCTGTATACGCTCATTATATGTTCAGTATGACTATGTATTTGATGATGAAAAATCCTTTGGACACTGTGTGGACACTGTGTAACATGATACGTCTATAACATCTCCACGTGAGATGTACTCGGTTCCTGTCAAGCTAATAGAATGAAATTTAAAGTGGGTGGCTTTAGTTAAAAACCTTTTAATCTTCCAAAGAACAAGTTGTTTATTGCCTTGTCTCCTTGTGAAATTGTTCGTTACTTTATTTAACATCGATCAAGCAAGTCCATTTCTTCTGGCTTAATCTAGCAGATGCTGTTCATCAGCTGACTCACATGACAGCCCCCGAGCTTTGTGTCCGATCTATACTATTATATCCGCTATCACCACTAGATTGCAAAACAAAGGGGATTTGCTAGAATGCAGGAATTTGATTGAGGGTCCATGCAGTTCAGCTGTGCCTCTCAAATGTTTTGCAGGGTTTACAGGCCCACGTCAACTTGTACAGGAGTAGAACAGTGAGGACAGAGGGAGTCTGGAATCAAGTATAATCCTAATTTATTTTACCAGTCTTCTACCAGCTGTTGGAATCATACGAATCAATTTTTGTTTTGTTTTTTCAAAGTATGTCAGCCTCATGACAGTGTGCCAGCAAGCCAGAGACCAGGACCATCATTGTTGGTTTTATTATTTGCCCAGGCTCAGGCGATCAAGTCCAACTTGGTGACACAAATCACCATCATATGAATCAAATATATTTAAATGAGTTGAATCATGATATTTATACAAAGACCTGGGTTCACTTAGCTAAAACGTTATCATGATGTAATTGTTAACCATTTAAAAATGACGTTCATGAAACGTGATATGTGCATGTAAAAAAAGACGGCGCCACCTGTCGTCCAGCAGCGGAACTGCTTTCGATTGGCTCACGCGTTGCCTGGATACAACGCAACAAATGCGCAACCTGAGAACGAGTTAAAGGTGGTCAGGAGATTTACAGCAAATACAGTTTATAGATTGCATTCCTGGGTAACATATATATATATATATATATATCGAATACAAATGTCGTCGGTTGTCCAGTATGGCCGACGGAGAGGCTCCAGTAAGAGAGGTGAGAGCTGAAGGTAGCTAATAATGTTAGCCGTCATAGCTAACAGCCGTCTTAAAATCCTGTAACGTCAACGAGCACACGGGTCAGAACAATGCAGGAGTGGCTCTGATGACACATTGGTGTTATGCATGCATCCATTGTCGTACCCAAACTTGTAACCACCTTTTAAAAGATTACTACTTTGTGTATTACTTTGAATTAAGCTTTAACACATGTGTTGCATGAAGTATAGAACACAGAACATAGTACCAAAAATAATATAATAATATCTGCTATTCAAGTAGAAGTAGATATCCTGTTCTAGAGAAAAGATTTTGGAATCCACAAACGCAAGTTCCCTAAAAATGTGTTTACACGCACATCTCACAGTACTTCCTACCTTATTGTTTTTATTTTATTAGTGTCTTCAGCCGAGGAAGGCAACAGGATGATCCAGCCACCCGACCTCCAACAAGTCACCGTCTTAACCAAAAGTGACTGGATGAGGATTCAAGAAGAATTGAACATGGTTAATAAAGACCAGGAGAGCATGAGAGAGGCAGCAAAACAGAAGGAGGCCTTGCATTTGAAATCGCAAGAAGTGGTGAAACTGTGGTCCAATACCATCGCTGTAAGTGGCCTGTATGGTGGTTTAGTCCGATTTTATTAGATTTATTAGGAGGTGGCCCACTGAAAACACAATGTTCTGCTGTAAAAGATATTGTGTACGATCGTGGAAAAGGTTTACGCGCTTTTTGCTTCCCTTTAGGGTCAGAGGCAAAAACAACTGGAAGCAAAGAAGATCCGGCAGCAGATTGAGGAGGAGAAAAGGAAACAGACTGATATAGAAGAGGCCAAATATCGGGCGCAGCAGCGGGAAGAGGCCATTGAAAAGGCCAAAAATCAGCTGTTCCATCAAACAGACCGCGTTAAAGGGTTACACGTCAGTATCGCATGTACATGTGTGCCCATATACGTTGATGTTTTCGGGATAATGAAGGATTCTTTCTACTTCCACACAGGGTGCGCTCCTACTGACAGAGGTGCTGAAGGAAAGGGAGGCCCAGGTGGAACTGAAGCAAAGAATAAAGAAGGCCTCGGACGATGTGGACAGAGAAATACTGAATAAGATAAAGACGAGGGAGGAAGAAGCCTTGAGACAGGAGCAGGAAAAAGCCCTTCAGAAGAAGCTTGGCAGACAGGCTCTTGTGGAGGGCCTGAAAAACCAGTAAGTCCCACACCACGGCTGTTTCCTGGTTTTGAGGGGCGAGTGAAACATTTTGCTTTCCCACGAGAGATTATGACTTCTTCTCTGTAGGGTCAAGGAAAACGAGCAAGCGAAAGAGCGACTGAAAGAAGAGAACAAGAAGGACGGAGAGCAAACCCAACGCCTTCAAGAGCTCCACCAGCAGGAGCAGAGCGCGGAGGAAGAACGACACGCAAAGCTGAGGAGAGACCTCATGCGCGCTCACATGGTGGGGACGCAACGGCGCAGGCCAACTGCCGCCGTCTTGATTCTTTCATCATGACACACACGTTTAGCACTGTACAGCCGGCATACTCACACTGTACACGGTGTTTACAGGAACACGTCCACAACAAGGACCTCATAAAAGCCACAGACCAACAAAGACAGGAGGCCGATGAGGAGCAAAGGAAACTCTTCCTCTCTGCAAAACAAAAAATGATAAAGTTACGGAAAGACAAAGAGAGAGAGTTGTTTGGGTAAGGGCCGGTCCGGCCGTCGTCCCCGGCGTGTCGCCATGACGACGTGACTCGAGTCACAAGTGTTTTTCGTTCTTCAGAGAGGCGCAGTTGCACAAAGAGGAGATCATGAACAAGCTGGTGGTCTCGCAGCAGGGCAAAACTGCCCGAGAGGAGCAGAGGACGGCAAAGGCCCGCGCTGAGCAGGAGGCGAAGCAGGAGCAGCAGCAGCGGGAGGAGGAGCAGAAGAAGGCCGAGATGATGGAGTCAATAGCTGCGCACAGGGAACTTGTGGTAAGGTGGGACAAGAATCCAATGTTACCGAGGAACCTGTAAGATAAACGTGTCCCTGTGGGTTGTTGTCTTTTATCAGAGGAAAGAAAAGGAGCAGAGGGACAAGTCGACAAAGCAGGACACCCGGGACACATTGGAGGCCAAGAAAGAGGCGGACAGAATATTCTCTGAGAAACAACAGCTGAAGGCTCAGAGGATGAGAGAAGACGAAAGGAAACTTCAAGACTTCCGTGTCGCACAAACGGTAACGTCCAAAACAGGCTGCGTTGCACCGCCTGGGAAATGCGCGAGTTTTATTTGGTCTTTGACGTTTATATATCGCATCCTTCTAATTTAGGCAAAAAGGGCCGCCCGGCATCAGCAGCTGAGGAGAGAGGATCACGAGTTGGCAGCCAGGAACGCGGAGCTCACAGCCGAGGAGGAGGACCAGTTTCAGCGGTACTCACGGCGCGTCATCGGGGAGGCGGCGGAGGCTCAGAGGAACGTGTTTCCGCTCTGCAAGGCCGCCGCGGGGGGGCTCGGAGCAGGGGGCCACGCACTAACCAACAGCTACCTCGTCCAGGACCTCAGCGGGGCGCCGATGCCCAAATACGTCTCTGCCGCCACCCGGAACGTTAAAAAGTTAAACGAGGCCAAAGATATCCAGGACGCAAAGAAGAGACTCGGGTTCACGTGGTCGTAGGTCGGCCCGAGCTAATAAATAAAATCAATGGTTTGGTCCAATAAGGGAATGGTGGGATCAATATAGGAATATAGAACAGTGGACGAAATTAACATGGCTGTTTGAAAATGGATCACACATCAATGTTCTGTGAATATTGTGCATCAACTACAGTTCATTGAACATTACTCGGGATGGTAAAATTCCCTGGATTTGTTGATGCTATTAATATTTGGGCTGTCAGTAGCTTGTGTTTATGAAATAATTAAAACAGTCAATTCAAATCAAAGTTGATCTTTTTAATTATGCCTACACAGCAGTAGAGATCTAAAAATCAACACAACACAATTTATACAAATGGATTTCCAGTTGTACTCGCAACATGACTGACATTTTTTTTCATAAAAACAAAACAAACCAGAGGCATTTCAAAACCGCTTAACAAACAGTATTACAGTACAGGGTCATGATGTCCAAACAAAGTAATGGATGTACAAATGTCATCAAACAATGAGGGATAAGCATGCAGGAAATTATGTGTCCTCTTCTAGATTGTAAAAAATAACTAGACGATTAGGCATTTATCAAACAGAGTCTTTACCCCCCCCAAAAACCTGCGTTAAATAACTTTTAATAACATTCTAGGAGTACGATCTCTCCTCAGCGGATGTGAAGCTGAAGCTACCTTCAGCTTCACATCCGCAGCGTTACGCACTCTATTAGGGGACAAATCCACGATCCATTCAGGGCCAGAATAAAGTCCGTAGATCCACAAAAGCTTGCATGATGCTGCCATCTGCCACGGTAACTTTAATGGTTTCCAGGCAGTTCCAAACAGTTGGAAAATTAATGTTTGACAGACTCTTGAACAATCATATTAGCTTTGGACGACGGGTGGAGTGGGAGTCTGCGCACTGAATGAGGAACGTGGACATGTCCCCTTCTCGATGGAAAGCGGATGCCTCCTCCCACGCATGCATTTGGGATAAAATTGGGACGAACTTCAGAATTCGCCATCTGTTGTATTCGTTCATCATCGCGTTCAGTCACTGTCTGAGCTGGAGCTGGATTTCGCTCTCTTGCTGTTGTTTCGGTCTTTGCCCTTTGTACTGTCGGGACTTGGTTTGGCCGGGCTCCTTCGGTCTTTGGACCTGGAGGGGCCACTTGCTCCTCGCCGTTTGGAACTGGGACTCTTCTCACTCCTCCTTTTGTGGTCTCGGTCGCTCTCAGAGCTGCTGCTGCTGCTGGTGCTGCTGCGTCTTCTCCTTCGGTTGGCGGATTCTCTATCCTTGTCCTTCCTCTGAGAGGACCGATCCTTGCTGTGGTCTCTCTTATTACTCCTGGAGCGCCGGCCTCTGCGGGAGTCTCTGGACTCATTCCTGTCTGGACTTCCTGTCGAACGGTCCTTGTCCCTGGATGTCCCTCGCCTCTTACTCTCCCTCTCTGTGTTATGTCGTTTTTCCCGACTCCGGTCTCTGTCCCTCTCTCTGTCCTTTTCTTGTTTTTCTTCTTTGTCCCGCTCTCTGTCCTTTTCTTGTTTTTCTTCTTTGTCCCGCTCTCTGTCCTTTTCTTGTTTTTCTTCTTTGTCCCGCTCTCTGTCCTTTTCTTGTTTTTCTTCTTTGTCCCGCTCTCTGTCCTTTTCTTGTTTTTCTTCTTTGTCCTTGGACACGGCCGGTCCGCTCCTGTCCCTGTTCTTGCTACTTGATCTGTGGTCGTCTTTTTCTGTTGGTTTTTCCTTACTTTGGGACTTTGTTCTCTCACCGTTTCTCCCTTTTGTGTCCTCTTTCTGCTTTTTCTCATCCGAGTCATTACTCTTATTTCTATCTTTACTTTGATCTGACCCGGATTCCTTTTCTTTCTTGCTAGTGTTTTTGTCTTTGCTCGTTGATCGACTTTTCCTGTCATCACTTTTGTGCTTGTGTCCCTTCTCTCGGCTCTTGGACCTCTTCCTCTTTTCCGTGCTTTTGCTGCGGCTTTGAGATTTATCTCTTTTCTTTGCCTTGTGTTTGCTGTGCCTCTCATCCTTCTCAACTCCCTCGTCCTCTTTGCTTTTGGATCTATGGGACCGAGTTTTCTTATCTTTTTTACCCTCAGCTGTGTGTTCATGCTTTGTGTCGGATGTTCGCCTCTCTCTTCTCGGAGCTTTGGCGGCCTCGTCCTTGGCCTCATTCATGTCCCCTCTGATAAAAGATTGCAGAGGAAATGTCAACCACAGAACACAACTACAGACATCAGGCAACACTATGGAACTATGTTCAATAACGTTCCTCCAATACGCTGCTTAGAAGTTCATAAAGTACCCACTAAGGAAGGTTTAAGCAGTGTCATCTCAAATATTTCATCACCACCAGGCACACTAAAGGAATGTTAAGCCAGTTTGGATTCAAATGAAGCTAATACTTTGCATCAATTTAGTTTTCCATTTGTCATGTCCACTTTTACATTCTCTTTAATAAAACAAATCGAGGTGATCTTACTTGTCACCCTTAATCCAGCGCTCTCCGGTGACTGCCCTCATCCGCTGGCGCTGCAACTCATGACGCCAGTGAGGCGGTGTTTCGCTGCGGCGAGAGCGATCTCTGGACCTTGAGCGAGAGCGGGACGGAGTTCGGTAGCGCTGGTTGGGAGAAGAATGACATGATTATTAATATGACTATTAACAGACTGGAACTCACACGTAAACAACTGGAATTACACAAAACTGCAATTATAAGTTTGATAAATTGTGCACGTCCCCACCTCAAAGACACATTTCAGTGTTATGAAATGTTAGCAGAACTCTTCCCATTGAAGTGTACCTACCCGTGGACCCCTGCCTTTTATCTTCCTCCCAGATCGTGTCATCGCCAGTCTTCTATTATATGATGGCTGAGAATTATATGGTACACCAGCCCTAAAGAGGGAGTGGCAGAAAAAAGCAAGGCATTACATTTTGGACCGTTAAGTCCACCGTTGAGCTGTAAGTAGTTTAACATTTGCATCCTAATGTTGTCATGACTCCTTGTGGGGAATATGTGAAGCGCTTGTTGAAAAACGTGTGTGAAAGCAGAGGTGCAAATGAACTGTGACTATATCTAGAAGACAACTGTAGCAATGTAAACAATTGCTACACAAACTTACATAAAATAGTCATTATTATTATTTTAAAGCTGAGTGCAGAGGGGCAGATTTGTATTTGGGCACGGTACAAATCAATTGTACCTGATATGAAATCACTAACCTCTCTCTGGGCTTTTCCTCTTTATTCCCCCTCATGAGGAATCGATTATTTGGGATGGGTGGAATTTCTTCAGGACGCACAGTAGATGTAACCAACTCTTCTTGCTCTTTCTCTTCAGTGCTTTCAGGTTCTGACCTAGAAAAGAATTGAAGCTCAGCATAAAAACACTGGTGTACTGTAAACTCAAGAAAGTGAGAATTTGAGGAATTTAGTACCTTTTCTTTTCCTTCTTCAGTTTCTTTTTGAGCTTTTTCGCCTTCTTTTTCTTTTTCTTAGACTCCTTCACAGATTCTTCAGAATCCGAGGAGGATTGTGATGAGCTCTCAGAGTCACTGGAGCTGCTGCTGGAACTGGAAGACTCTTTCGCTTTCTTTTTTTCATCTTTCTTTGCTGTAAACATTAAAGAATCCGTAAGAAGCATTGCTTCAGAAAATCTAGTATTTGTTTTAGCAGTACTGGAATTGCTTGACGCTGACAAACCTTTGGATTTCGGAATGAGCTCTCCACAGTTCATAACTTTCACGTCAGCATATGGTCTGCTATTGGGGTCCGTTTTCTGGTTTTCCATGGTTTGAACCACTTCTTGGCCAGAGATCACATGACCAAAAACCACATGGACACTGGGGAAATAACCGTATTTGTTGAGCTTCAGCCATGTTGATCAAAGGGAAACGTACTGTGTGCATTGTGTAGAAGGCAATCAATCAGAGCTTCAGACCAATCAAGCAGCACTCACCCATCCAAGTGTGGGGATGGTTTTGTAGTTCTGAAGTGGTAAAGCAGGCCAATCGAGAAAACAGGGAATAAATATTTGTACAGGATAGGACGGAATGAACTAATAATGCATCAAAATTATATATGCTTACATGAAAAATTGTGACCCATTGGTATCTTTGCCTCTATTGGCCATAGACAGCAGGTACTCCTTGTTGTGTTTAACAGCAAAGCTTTCATCTGGAGGGGGAGAAGATTGTATCGTCATCTGGAAGGCAACGTTGGTTTGAATAACATACAGCTGTTCTAGTGGCTTCTTTACCTTCAAAAAAGCCTCCATAGATGGATTCACCCCTTTTCCATTACCTACGTCAAATGAGGGAAAACCATGAGAGAAAGGAGCTGCTACAGGAACGAGACTTCTGCCGTTATTAAACTTGTGCTGGTTCTTCAAATAGATTTGGTTATTTGGATAATAAGATTTGCCGATGCGTTCCGTAGGTGCTGACGCCACGAGTACGTTGCAGGTCTTTGAAAGACGGACTTGCAGTCATTAACTAGATCTTCACACTTAAAATATGTGGATTTAAAGCATGTGCGTTCTAAGGTAAGTGCAGCATTCATAACGTATATATATTAAAACGTGCTTAATTCACCTTCACTGAAGTCTCCACCTTGAATCATAAAGTCTTTCACAACCCGATGGAACAGACATCCTTTGTAGTGCAGCGGTTTCATGGTTCCCTTGCCAATGCCCTTTTCACCTAAACGAAACCAGTCAATTATCAGTAATCAAAATTATATCATACAAAAAAGTAAAATGCTTTCGGTCCATTTTTCAGCAGATCAACTTGTTTCTCTACCTGTGCAAAGGCATCTGAAGTTTTCACATGTTTTGGGACAGATGTCTGAAAACAACTCAATGACAACTCTGCCAACTGCAAGGAAAGAGCAAAGTTAACTTCGTTTTCTTTAGCATGGTGAGAAATGACATTCAGCAGTCAGTACATTTATATCAATATCGGTAGGATAAATAATACAATGTATTTGTGTTCCACACAAATCAACAAAAGCACAAACCATATCCCCCAAAATGAGAATAAGGTTAAATGAACACCTCTTTAAAACATTTTTCTCCAATCGGACATGTACGGTCATTTCTTACCGAGCACATTACTGATGCCAACATCAAGAAAGCACCGAGCACGCTGAGCTTTGACCATGATCACAGCTACGGTCCAACACCTGAATGAGAGAAACACCAATAAGTGACAAGTTAAGCTTTTCCTAGAAGAAGGTGCTTTTAACTAAAATGCCGACATTACCAATCCAATCCCGTTCAACTATAGAGTCTGAGGAGTCGCTCGATCTCTTTAAGTGTTAAATGAACACGGTCACTGCCTGGAAATTATTCTTACAAGATAGAAAATCCGCAAAGTAGACTCGTTTAATCCTGCTACGACGGCAGTCTGGGTTATAACGTTACGGTAGCTAAGTTGGCTAAGTTTCGTTTTTTTATTTTACATTAGCTAACGTAACGTCGGCTAACGTCCAGTACAACGCATTTTAAGTCTCACTGGACGTGTGCAATAGATTGCCAAGAATCACAACTTCTCCCGCGCATACACCCCCTAGTTATGGTTCAACCGAATAGGACAGTCACCACAACGGTAGGCCTGGCGTTAGCATCAGCAGGTTCAACTAGCCTCTGTTAGACAGCATGTAGCTAACTTAGCTAGTGAGATGCTTCGGCTTGACGTGTTAATAGCATGCAATTTCGACATGTTAACTTATCATATATATCGCCAAAACGTGATTAATGCAAAATCACATCACCTTGAAATAAAACGATATCACTTCATACAGCGAGTTGCTTCCACAAACGACGAAAAATGTACTTTCATTCAGCGGTGGGTACACTGTTTTCTAAAGATGGCGCGGCAACGACGTCAACGTATTTTAAGAGAAGTGCGCTAGTGGACGCACGAGGGCACGTAGCGGCGTGGGGTTATGTAAGCCCTAAACATTGTCTGTCAGGCAGACTCCCAAAGCCCGCTTGTCATCCGGTCCTTGTACTTTTTAATTTTAGTTTGTTTAATCATTGAATTGAAATTAAAAACAAATTCTAAAAACATAATATTCTAGTTATAAGTTTTAGCTTTTTGACTACATTAACTATTAAAACGCAAAACGTTACACAGAATCAACACGGGAACTGGTTTGCTGACTGTAAGACAAAACCCGGGGTATCAAAGACACATGAAAGACTTACATACCAATACGTCACTTGCTACGGAAGTAAAACATTGTAGCACTCATGCGGACTTTGAATGACTGATTTTAATGTCGTACTGTATTTGTGTCACATACATAATGTTTGATTCTCTATAATATTAACACATATACCTCAGTATCCAGAGACTATGGGTAATTCGGTGTTGTCGGGTGTTTTACCTGATCCTTTCTCCATGCACGTGAACACCACGTTAGCAAACTGCTAACTACTGTAGTTACAGCCTTACATTAAAGGGGAGTTACATGAAACATCAGACTCGTCCTTCTGAGAGATGAACCCGAGGTCAGCGTGTTGTAATTACACTCACTCTCTGTTGTTAATGCAATGTAACTTACTACAAAACAATTGATAACAATGCCATATGTGTTTAAATATCGTAATGGGCTTCTCTTGTGTGTGTGTTTTTTGGTTTTTAGTCGACACAGGTCCGCAAGGGAACACATAACATATCCTACCTCGACCGATCTCAGCTGGCTGAGGTTACCTGTTGCATTTGGCATTGATCTGCACAGCGCCCTCCGTGTACCGGTGCAATGAACCCCCCGGTTCAGTCTTTATTCTAGCCGATGTCCGCCGGGATGTTTCGGGTCCGCTGTGTGACGTCCTCCCTTCGGAGGCTCCTCCACGGGGGAGCCGCGAACCGAGACCCGGTCTTGGAGCAGCTGCAGGTTTGCTCGGCCGAAGACCAGCTGTTCGATGTGGTGGGCAAGAACCGAGCCAAGCTCACGGTGAACCATGTCAGCAAGGCCGTCGGGATGCTGTGGCAGTTTCAGAAAAAAAAGCCCGAACTGCTGCGGACTGTGGAGGTCATCAGGAGCCACCCGCAGTTCTTGACCCTGCGGGTTCTGGCGGAGAACAAAATTGCTCTTATGGATGATTGCATGTTGGTCGACACGCTGTACAGTTTCCTCAGGTATGTCACCGGGGAGACACACGTGCAGGGGTTCTGTTTTGATGTCCTGCCATGCTAAATTCTAAAGTGCTGTGTTATTATCCATCCTTTAGGTTGAATGTGGATCAACATGACTCCCTGGTTCAGCAGTTGGTTTCAGAAGCATGGCTCAGAATAGACAGGTATGAACGCCTCACATCGTTTTGAGCCGATGGGATTTCGAGGGCTGCAACAATCATTTTCATTATGTTGAATGTTGTGGTTAATCTTTTTTTTCAGTCGAGCAAGTGACGAGTGAAAGTTTATCAAAATAATGGGAAATTGCAAAAACGTTCTCCTTCCAACCAACATTTCTTAACCCAGATATGATGACATAAAATAGGGAAAAGCTTCCTGAGACCAGCAAATGTTTGGCATTTTTACTTAATTAGTTACAAAATAGATGAAATGCTGTCAAAATTGTTTGGTTACATGTCTAATCCTTTCAGCGCTAATGAGATGATACACTAATGTGGATTTCTGCAGGTTGCCTCTGGCGTCGCTATCCAAGTTCTCCATCTGTTTAAGTGATCAGCACCTTCAACACAGTCCTCTAATGGGCCACGTCACCAGAATTGTGGCTCAGAGGTTGTCTTCCATCGATGATGCCAGGTTGGTCAGGATAATGTTCATATTCTAGAGAGGATCAAATAACAAATACTTAAAAACAAAGTCAAGTAGCTCATCTTGTGTATTGACTCGGTGGTCGACTTTCCCCAGGATCCTCACTCCACTGATGATTAGCGTGTCTTACCTGGCGTCCCCCCGGCTTCGGGACGCCCTCATCGGCCGGGCAGAGCATCTCCTGGAAACCATGGATCCCTTACATTACAACAACCCGCGGAGAGTGGTGCAATTCCTGCGCAACGTCAAGCACAGCCCCCGGCCTCTGCTGGAGAAGTGCAACGAGCTCATCTTGCGAAACCTTTCCAGACTGGACGTGGAAAACATCGGCGTTATGATGGGTTTGTATCAGTCCCTGCAGTTCAACAACTGCGACTTCAGGCTGGCTGTCAAGCAACGACTGACAGAGCTGATCGATTCAAGCACCGACCCTTTCTCCTTCACCAAGCTTTTTGTCAACCTGGCGCCGATGGCAAGTCAGGAGATCAGAGATGGGTTGGTATCCATAAGTGGAAAACTTTATCCGTTGACAGCGGCTCCTTGAGTTTTATATGTCTTATGCGGTTTTATTCCTTTCAGGCTGGAAAACACGGCCCTGCTGCTGGCGGACGAGCTCAGTGCACATCAGGCTCTGGTCATAGCTGAAGCTCTAGAAGAGACTCAGAGCAGGAATCTGAGCTTGATGAACAAGTGAGTTCACACCGTGGCCATATAACTTCTGAGCTCTGAGCTCAATATACTTAATATGTCTGTCAATATGAAGTTATTGTGTGTGTGTGTGTATATATATATATATATATATATAAATAATTAAATATATTCAATATGAAGTTGTTGTCTATATAGATGTATTTTTAGCAGAAAATTCGTTAGAAATTTTTGTACAGCAAAGACAAAGTTGATCACATGATCTTCTCTGGCAAATCGCGTTTTGTGAAAGACGAATTCCCTTTTTCTGAGCTATGAGAGGATCCCACGCTCACGACGCGTTGAAAGTTAAGATTGATAAATATGTTGCAATTATTTCTAAATTATTTTCCAGAATTGCATCAGTGATCCAAAGAAATCTTCATCTCTACAAGCCAGTGGAGGTGGCCAGAATCACGCAAGCCCTTTTTCTGATGCAATACCAAAACCCGGAACTCTTCACTAAACTACGAAATATTTTGAACAAGTAAGTGTTTGTTTACGCCAAGGAGGAGATCCCGCTCCGCTCTCTGCTTGAACAAACTCGACCCGTTGCTCCCTCTCTCGCAGCTTTCTGCAGCGCAGCGTCTACCCCTACGAAGTGATCATTTTGACCCGCGTGATGTCCATGCTGCCCAACGCGCGCATCGACGAGGCCGTGGTCTCGCGGGTGGACGTCGTGGTGACCCAGTGCAATCTCAACGACCTCAACACCGTCGCTTGCGCCATTGCCAAGTGGGTGCGCAGCGATCCTTCCTACCGCCACAACACCCCCAGCCGGTACGTCCGCCTGCTGCAGACCCTGAACCGCTGTGGCCACGAGAGGCTGCGGGCGGCCGACCGGCTGGACCTGGTGCTGGAGGAGCTCAAGTACATCTCGGGAGAGTGGTTCGAGGAAATGCTGTTGGAGGAGACGATGGCCACGCTGGAGAGGATGACGGGCCAAATTAACTGCACCAATGTGCCCGAGTTGGCCGTCTTCTTAACCAGAATAAATCACCTGTGCCCTCCCCTGATGGAGCGCATAGCCAGCGTGGCCATCAAAGACATCGACAAGGTGGCCTGAGAGACCTCACGGTATGTTTGAAGTCCGCAGTAACACAACATATAAACGGCCCCCCTTTTCTGTGCACTTTTCAGATGCACCACTCAATGGTGTACGCCACGCTGCTCCCGTTCGCTGTAATGAATTATGATCCAGAACAAGCAGACGAGCTGTATGATGTTTGTATTCAGCGCTTCATTCCTCATATCAGTAAGTCGACCGTTTGTTTGTTTTTTACGCCTTTTTTGTTTGCTTTATTATTTCAAGCTCACACCACCACCTGTCTTTGCGTCCGCAGGCTCCTTTGACCCACATCGGCTCGTTCTCCTGGCGTACGCGCTGTCCGTGGCCGACTGTTTCCCAGAGGAAATGGCCAGAGAGATCTTCAGCATCGACTTTCTGCGGAAGCTGGACGCCCAATTAGAAAGTATGTCTCCACTTTGCTCGCGTTTTGGGATACGAATTGTTTTCTGTGCAGCGGCAGCGAAACATTCACCGCAAGATGTGAGCACTTGGCGCCTCAACGGAGCCGACATGACCGCCGCCCGCTCCTCTTTACAGCGCTGCCCGATTCCCTCAACATGCGGACCAGGCTGTGCCTCATGGAGCTCAATCGCGCCGTCTGTCTCGAGTGCCCCGAGTTCCAGGTGCCGTGGGTTCCACGAGCGCTACTGCCAGCGGCTGCAAAAGAAAGGTAAAAAGGGGCGACAACCAAAATTAGTTATCATTTATGTGGGTGTTCAAACATCTAAGCTGTGAAAAATGATTTTCACAGGGAACGGGCCGGTCGGTCCAGTGCAACAGCAAATCCACAAACTGCTCGGCGAAGTCCTCGGCGGCATCAACTGTGTCCGGGTAGCGGTCGTCACTCCATATTTTTACACTTTAGGTGAGTAATATTGGAAAATGTCTGCATTACTGATTTTATGTTTCATCACACCCTTTCTTTTGTATTCTGAAGCTCATATGAAACGCAGCCGCTGTATTTCGCTTCAAGTCAATTACGGGACAGTGACGCGTTTTGTTTTTCTCTTTTTAATTGACAATCTCCATTTAATCAACGCCCTGGAAAAGCGAAACACACTGGACACCAGTGTCATGTGACCATGTTTCCCGTTGCAGACTTTGAGTGCACACTGGACAAACAGCTGCAGCCGCTGGCCTACAGCGAGCCCAGCACGCTGCAGATCTCAGACAGAGGACAGGTTCACTGGGGGAAGAGCTCAGTGGAGACCATCGGCGATGTGCTGCCACCTGGAGCTCAGCGGTAGGGATGCTGCGAACGCACACAGCGAATAATAAGCACGACGACCACTCGGAAGTTGAACATGTTTGACGTCCTGTCGCACAGAGTTGCTGTGGACTTTCTTGATTCAAAGTCCTTCTGCAAGAACACTCCACATATGAAAGGTGAAGCCCTGATGAGAAAAAGACACCTTGAAATTCTGGGATACCGCGTGGTTCAGGTGAGAGGACGTCATTTAAAATAGCATGTAGCTTTGTACATCTCTTACATTAAACGTCAACGCCGCTTTTTCAGATCCCTCACTTTGAATGGAACTCCATGGAGCTCTCAACACCAGATGCCTGGAAGGAATATCTAAAGAAGAATATATTTAAGGAGCTCTCTTCTTGAAGGCCTTATTTCTTGAACAATGGACGTAGTGTTGCAATCGACACTTTGACACACTTTTGACATCTCATGTTTGTGTGTGTGTGTATATCTATATATATCAAGTGCTCCTTTTTAGTTACATGAATCTACCTCATTCATGTCAAGTAAGATTGTGAATTATGCGCTTTTGTATTGAAATTAGCATCTTATATAAAAGGATAAATGAATATCCAACATCAGAAGAGAATTGTCATTGTTGTTCGAACAACCTACATTTTAGGCAATGTATTACATTGAATGCAAATAATATGCTATATCTTGGTGAGCATTGTGGATTAAGTAACACATCTCTGGACTGTGCGAAGGTTTTGAACGTGAACGTTTTGACGAGACCTCATTTTACCCTTTACATGTGACTTTCTTTAGCTGTTATTCAAACTCATCCTTTAGTTGGTTTAATCAATTCTGCTCTCACTTATTTTTTACTTTTAAACCAAGTGTGATCTCAAAATGTTAATTATACTAGTCACAATTGTGCATAAGTGGCATAATGTTTCTTTGCTTAAATAATGTTCATATTCTACGAGCTGTTGCTTGAAAAAAGAAAAACATAAAATAGAAACCTGTATCAGATGATATACTGAAAAGACACACTACTAATGTAAACAATGAACATTCACAGATTCATAGACGTTACAGTATTAACACTTTTTAATGGGGGGGAAGTGATGTGACGAAAACAAACCCAATTAAAACCATGAAACCGTTCATTGAACCAGTCACGGGGCATTCAAAGAGGACACGTGTTACCTTGAAATGTAAATCACAAGCCACTAAACAAGAGCATGTACATAATATTTGGCCTACGGCAGCAACGTCAGGGTGCCTTGTCTGTCCCCGGACCTTCGTCACAGTTTGGGCATTCTGGCCGCATTTAGACGCATAGAGACACACGAGGCACCGGCCGCGTAACGCATCTCTCTGATCAGGCCGGTCCACTGTTTCTTGTCATCTTCATACCTGGTGAGAAAGTTAAAACGTGTCATCACACACAAGTGAGAGCACGCTGACGTTATTAAAGACATAATGCAAACAAAGTCCACACATACTGCCAGATGTCGAGGACTTCACTGGGTCCGCACTCTTTGTTCTCGTTCTCCACGATGGCGAAGCCGCCCAGAGTGAACAGCTGCCCTCCGCAGCTCACCAGGTTGACTGAGCTCCTCTCCTGGGGCATCTCAGTGAAGGGGGACCACCTACGACAAGGTCCACTTAGCTGTATTCACGCGACGTCTCAGAGTTTATTTGATAAAACTAGTAAAACAAGCTGTTATCTGTGATAAACATTTTTGTAACAGGCAGTAAATTTGAATGAATATTCGGACCATTTTGAACTTCTATTTGAAGTCTTGCAGTCACTCAGTATTGACGAATAATATTAACAATATATTTGACTAAAAGACATTTGATAAGTTGCATCTATTTCTAAACTGGGATTGGGAACAACCAGATGAGAATGCTAATAAGCAGCACATACTTGTTGGTTGCAAAGTCGTATGTTTCACATGTGGCTGTGAGGCCTTCCTCGTTGACTCCCCCGGCGACAACAATCTTCCCGTTGTGGATAACCGCCCCAAACATGGATCTGGGTGTTTTCATGGAGCCCACTTCCTTCCACTCTGATCTCTTGTGGTTGTATGCAAACATCTTATTGGTCGCTTTGCTTTACCGGGGAGAGAAACCGGATTCCAGAGGAGGGTTAAGGTAACGTGAAAACCATACTCTGGCTCAATCAAAACAAATTGGGCATTTTAAACCTTACTTGTCATCTGTTTTCCCTCCGATGCAGTAAACCAGCCCGTTCTCAGAGACCACGCAGTGGCCGTGAATGTTCAAGGGCAGCTTCTTTGTCTGCGTCCACTTCATTTTTCTAAATAGGGTGGACACACGGTACTCAATGAGACAAATCTACGGAGCGAGCACACGCAAAAGGCGCTTGGTGTACCGAACTTACTCGGTGTCATAGCACATAACGGTGTCATGAGACTCATTGGACTGTAAATCCTTTCCGGCCACGGCAAAGAGCAGATTTTCACATTCCCCCACAGCAAACAAACACCTGGGGGAGGGCATGGGCGGCAGAGCCACCCATTCGGCAGCGAGGCTGTCAAACTGAAAAGACACATTGTAAGATGTAATTTGAATATATTTTGATGTTTCCAGCACAACTGCAATGTAAACCGAAGCTTCATACCTGGTAGAAATAGCACTGCAACGGGTTTTCTTTGTCCTCTTCATCCACAAACAGTCCTCCCAACACGTACAGGATGTTCTTTTTCGAAACCACGCTGACGTGGTTTCGGGGGACCTGCTCCGCCATTGCGGCGAGAAAACACTCGTTCTCCTGGGTGTCATAAGCCACGCTGGCGGTGTCATTGATCATCAAAACCATGTCCTTGGCATACATGCCATATCTGCGCTGGTCATTCAAACAGCCGGGCAACTTTCCCTCCTCTCCTTCCTCATCATCTTCTCCCTTCTTCCCCTCAGGCAGCTTTCCCGCAAAGGCTTCCTTGATGACTTTGATTTTTTTGAGAAGCTCGGGATCAGCCTTGATGAGGTCATCCTTCTCCACCTTCTCCTTGAAGTACTTCTCTGGGAGTAAACGGAAACGAATGCACTCGAAGGCCTCCTCCAAGGACTTCACGCGCTTCTCTTGGTCTTTTCGGATCCACCTCATGAGGGTCTCAAACACCACTTCCTCTTTCTCTACATTCAACGCATCGGCTCCAATGATGGCAAAGAGTTCCGGCGGAGAGAGCTGGAGGAAATCCTCGTCCTTGGCTATGGTCTCAAACCGATCTGCGATGTGATTTCGAGCTGCCATCGCCAGTCGGGCGCTGTTCAGCACCAGTCCCAGCCTGTAGATGGCAAGGCAGTTTTTGACCGACAGTCTCTTCTGGAGATAATTCACACAGACCGTGAACACTGACGGGATCTGCAAGCGGCTGGCGGCGGCCAGAATATCCTGCACGTTGTCTTCGTTGATGTCTATCTCCGCTGAGTACATGTAATTCACGATCGCCTCCATCACGTTGGGGTCCATGTTCTCCAGAACGACCTCCATTTGTTCCATTTCCTTGCCATCTGCTGTGAAGTAGAGCTCCCGGAAATAAGGACTACAAGCTGCCAGGATGAGGCGATGACACGGGATGCTTCTGTCTCCAACCTTCAGGACGCTGTCAACTAACTTGTTCTCATTCAGGAGCTCTTTGAGTCCATCCTGCAGCAAAGTGCTCTGAAACAGTTGGAGATCTTCCCTCATGCTTTGGGGATCCATTCTTCAAGGACACAACGTGGATGGAGGTGTTTGCCGACAGACTGTCCTGGCCGACGAAGACAAAGAACTGCAGGCGGCCAGTTCCAATGCCACTTTAATATAACCGTGCCCCCTCTAAATATAGCCAGCGACCCCGTCCAGCAGGAATTCAAGTTGGCCGAATAGGAGAGCTCCCACAGCTGTCACAGAGTAAAAACAACTGTGGAGCCTTGTCACCTCGGTGATTCGTAACAACATTGTTGCACGCCCATGAGTCACCTGCGATCTTCCATATTCCATTGTCACTCGTCCATCTAATGAGGTAAAATCTATAACTTCAGAGGGACCCATCAAAACACGCCAGCATAATGACGGGACTGTTTGTTCCAGCTCCTCGTGTGTTCATGGATATGACTTTCCTCTGGAGACATCTACACGTGAAGTGAGTCACGATTCACTGATAGTTGTGACCGGTCCACTGCAGTGGTCAGTGCTTGTTGATGACGCATCCACAGGGGTGTTATCCAACAGGAAAACAGGGTCAGTGAACAGCTGTTACCACAGCAGGCGACAGTTTGTCCTGTTTTCAGAGTTTTCAAATACTTTAGGTGCTTATGTGCCGTTATGTATTTAACCCAGGATAATTTTGTTCTATGTTGTTGTAAGTAACTGTGTGTGAGCTGCAGTACGACCCTACTGCGTTTGTATTATTGAAAGCTTTACAAAAAAGGACTCTTTTAAAATCTATTTAAATGGGTTTATTAATTTTAAAACATTTTTCACATTCTAACCATTACAAGAAACGGTTATATACAATTTTCTTAACAATAAAAATATCCTACATGTAAATATGAAATAGTATCATTACATTAACTGTACAACTTTTAACATGATCTAAATTGAAATATATATAACACTATTTCAGCCAATGACTTCCCAAAGTCCTTGAAGTGTGAAGCCTTCCTTCAGCTTCTCAACGGCGAGGCCCAGATCCTCAGAGAAAACCGGCTCCCGGTCTTGTTGCTTTGAAACATCAGTTAACAAATCAAATAAATTAAACACAATATACTAGTCACCACGTATTATTAATTATGGTTAATGATAAAAATGATTGTGAGACTTTACCTTATTTCCATCGGCAAAGTAAGCCTGTGGGCAAACAACACACGCAGTTCACACATTAAATGAAAATAAACTGTTGTCGATGATACTACTCTGCACACACAGCACAATAAGCTGAAGGGCTTTGGCTGACAGCTATTTTGAGAATCTGAAAACTGAACCATTGACTACCGAAAGGGGTGATGAGTGTAACTCACAGTAAAAGCATCAGTCTGCTCATCGGGCTCAATCTCCACGTCATCGGGAGCCTGTTCTACAGTCAGCTCCTCCAGCGGCTGGGGCTGAAATCATTGTTAGGACAAACAGCGCTATGACAACACGATCAGCTGAACTGGGTGACAAAGGAGCAGAACAAAATGTATGGCAATGTTTGCTGTGAAAATAACACATTAATTCAAAAACAGACACGTCGGGTATTTTAGAGTTGGTTTATTTCTAACTTCAACAGTTTGCAGTTCCTGACACCCTTTACAACTGTTGCGGTGATCAAGGTCATTGATTCTAATATTATGCTTGTGTGCATACCTTTTCTTCCATTTCATATTCCACTCCAAAGATGGGATTAGCAGAGTACACCTTATGCAGAGAGTTGATTTCCTTCAGTGCATCTTGAAGCTTATCCACGGGGTCAATCTTAAACCCGAGCACGTAGCCACCGCTCTAGAAACCAAAGCACATTTGTTCATTGCTCACACTCATATTATTTCAAGTATGAAATCGTCGTACTGTGATTAAGTCCAGGCGACTTTGACTCAAACAACAGAGGGACAAAACATTTTACCTGGCGTGAACTCTCGATCACCAAAGCCAAGCCAAATTTTGAATCTCTTATCCTGATAGACCACTTGAGGGGGAGAGACAAAATAAAATCAAAAGAAATACAAACACCAACTAAAATCACCTGAAACAAGACCATTCGATAGGGATCATGTGCAGAGGTGCATCTGCGTCTGCGTAGGACACGCCTAAGAAAACGCACCCGTGGAAACCAAAAGAGCTGCAGTAGATCAGAGCTGCACAAACTAAAAGGAACCCTGTGCCTGCTGCTACGTGGATGAACTGTGTCTTTGTTATTGTACTTTTCCGTGCACTGTAGTAAAAGTGCTTTCTGCAATTTAAAACCCACACACAGCCGCTCTCATTCAAAATAAGCAGCTGAGACTCTTGCCCCGGGAGCAAGTGTACCATAAAATTAATGGAGTTTGGAATTTATCCAGTGATCAGGTATGGGTGCTTCACTCACGTTGAAAATGTCTTTCATCAATATAGCATTTTTTACCACGAGTTTAGTAGAGTTTCTCTGACCACATACATGTTGCTCGGACGAATAACTGCGTGCTCCTGAGCACATGATATGTGGTGTGTGACGTTTGATTGGACATTATGTAAACAAGGCTGGTACAGAGTCATTTCAGGTACAGGCTCAGCCATGTTACCAAAACTAATACCAATCTACATTATCTGATTTACAAGACATTTTGATCCATGAATTAGTAACAAGGAAAGGGAGGACCATGTTTATTAGAACCAATCAAAAAGGCAAATATATAAAAATTTGCAGATTATAACTGTTTCTCATTTTGTCCACACAAAACTAAGGTGGAAAGTGAGGACTAGGACGGTAAAACTTTTTAGTGTATTACTTACAATCTGAAGGTAAGGAATGCTGACATTGAAGCTCTCGTTCATATTAGCATGCCACACGATTCGAACATTGGTAATAAAGAAGGTTCCAAGGTTACCCTAAAAGAAAGAAAAGGTACTCAGTTACGATTGCAAACAAATGATCTCCAGTTATCACATCAAACCTGAAGAGTACACTTGCAGTAGTAGTTTCTCAAGTTTAAAAAGGAGGGAAACCACTTGTTGCATTCCAAACATTTCATAGAATTGTACTGCTTATTAAAATGGCAATAGAAAGTATTCAACCATAATGCGTTTTAGATATATAGCTAACGCATTATTCGTCCTAGCAACATGTATGTGGTCAGAGAAACTCTACTAACCTCTTACGTGGTAAAAAATGCTATATTGATAAAAGACATTTTCAACGTGAGTGAAGCACCCATACCTGATCACTGGATAAATTCCAAACTCCATTAATTTTATCGTACACTTGCTCCCGGGGCAAGAGTCTCAGCTGCTTATTTTGAATGAGAGCGGCTCGTAATTTCAGGTCCCTGTACATTTTAGACGTCTCATAGGCCCTGTAACAAAAGCAGAAGTTTAGAAAGACATACATCTATTATAGAATGTGATCAGACAATCTAACACATTAGCACTGTTTTACCTGTGGACGGCAATAACAGAGGTAAAGAGCCGCGGACTTCCTGGAACCACATTGGTGAAAATGAACTCAAATCTTGTGTTGTTGGACTTTGTCAAGATGTAGAGCGCTTCAGTTTGACCTCTCAATTTCTGGAAAATAACATTCGATTAATTAATTATCAATTTTAAAATACGTAACATGAAAAGTATATATTATGTGTAGAAATGTAGGAAATGCAATGTGATTATGGTCAAATGCCGTAGATTGAGTATTTATTCTGTATATTTTTAAGATGATATTAACACAACAGCCATATGTAGAAAAACATGTTTACTTACTGAATAAGCAGTCCTTGTTGTGATGTTAATGATGGAGTTGTAACCCACAGCTGGAGAGAAAAATATGTTGATTTAGGTCGGTGAGATCATGTTTATCGTCCCCAATAAGTCCCCAATGTTACTGGATAACGTAAACAGTTTCAAAAAAAGTTAAATGAACATATAATAAATATAATGAGATGAAGACATCTAGTTATTTTCACAAAATGGTAACTGAATTTATATAAAATAGGGGGCGATGGTCATTCGAAATGAACCAACAGGGGCCAACAGGGAATTCATTAAACTTACAATCAAAACGTTTTAGATTATTTGTTTTAGCAATTTAAATCATTTGAATATGGTAATTTAATGTAAAAGAGGACTGACATTTCGAACTGGTGGAAACGGAGTCCTACGAAAAGCTGATTATTATATACTCACATAAATTGACTCTTGGCAGGGCCAAAGAATGCCAAATGATTCTCAGGTTTGTTACCAACAGTCGTCCTGTAAAAGCATCGGACATGATCACGTATCATGTGAGCAGCACACGTCAAGTAGCCCAGTTTTTAAACTATAACTAACTACCTCTATCTCCGTTGTTTCCTTTCGTGTCTTCGATGGAGTCCAGACAATCAATGAGTGCTTCTCCTGGACGAGTTTTCATCTGCCTGGTTGCAGAGGAGAATTGACAGATTGATCCGAGGCTCAATTCACCGCTACTCGAATAACACCAATGCTAGTAATTTAGTACGATGACGGTTATCTATGACATGTCACTATTTAAAGTCAAATGTGCATAGTGTCAGTGTTGTGTAAGCAACGACAGCCAATTAGCTTAACTCAGCTAACTAGCTGGCTAGTTTACACGCGGATGAAACGATTGCTAACGTTAACTATTTTGAAGTGAACTAACTTACTGTGCTGTTATGTCGAATCTAACGTCTCTGTCCTCCCACAGAGCATCTAAGACCGATGCCATGACTGCAGGTATTAACCCCTTCGGCCAAGTTTATTAACGTTTATAGCTAACTAGCTTCAGTTCGCTAGCTAACGTTAACTGCAGACTGGCTAATCCGAAGCCTCTGCAGCGTCATAATCACCCTGGCAACGGACGGCAACCAAAGAGGACAAAATTGTCTTGTTCCCAATCGCATGATTACTTATTTATTAAAAACTAGATTTTCCCAATGAACATGTTGTTTTTGGTTTCACTAACACGTCAGCAACTATATTATACAACTATGTGTATCATTCTATCAAAAAGGGTATGACGTCAGAGGGCTAACAAGAACAAAGAGAGATGGAGTCCAGACGGTGGCCTGTAATTGAAACGCTAATTTGTACACTATCAACAAGAATACAAATCACAAAATGTATTAATTATATTTAGTCAAATATTATATATAAGATATTAGCTCATTGATAAAATATAGTGATGATTATATTATATTAATGATTCATTAGTGTTTCCCTTTTTGTTCCTTTCACTGAGAAACACAAAATCAGGCAAATCAACATCTATTTTAGATTTTATTATTAAAAACAGATAAAACATGTATTCAGACATACACACTGCCCGAATATACCTTTAATGAATGAATTGCAGAAAGCCTCAATCTTCATCATACAATTGCAAATGCAGTAGACCTCTGTAAGCAGTACTCAGGCAGTATTGTTCCTCCATCACAGCTGCCAGTTACAGCCAAGGCAAACACAATTGTCATGACAACAAACACAATGCACACAGAAATTCTCAACATATTAGTAAATCATTTAAACATAAGATATGTAAAGCATGTGGCTCATACAAGTATAATAATTACCTACAGGTTAATTTTTAATTGTAATAATATATCTACATTTTTTATTTGAATCCCAGGACTGGTAAACCCAGAATAATAATATGTTTTTATTGTGGTTTCACTGAGGTAATAAAGTCTGTTAATCTCATTAATTGGGTTGACAACAGATTTTCAAGATTTGATTTATTTCGTCATTCCTTTTTGACACTGTTTTGTTATTTTATCAAATATGTATTTGTGTGAGGACAAAGGTTTTCAAAGATTCGAGGATTACAAATTAACAAAGGGCAGATTGTAGAGTAGTTAAGTCGACCTTCTGATGGCCTCATCTCCTTTTATCCTGCTGTGGGTGGATAAAACAGTAGTAAATTCAGACATTTATGAATAAAAAGTAAATGTGCTGATTCACAAACAACAGAAGTTACCTGTTCTGGATAGAACACAAGTCTTCTTGCATTCGTTCTCTGTTTCATAACGGTTCTCATTTCCTTGACAGCCTCCATACCAAAACTGTGCACAGGCATTGGCCTGCTTGTCATAGTACCAGTGGATGCTATAGTTTCGGCAGGTGCCTTGGTCCAAGTTAAGGTCACAGCGAGGATTCGGCACACGGGATTCTGAAAAAAAAAACATCTGTGAGATGTTTTCAAAGAATGCTTATGCACTCGATTGGAATGAGCCTTTTTCACAGCAGATATTTTGACTTATGTGATGTAGGTACCACTAAACCTACATTCATGATGGCTTTTGGTTTGTTCAAGTACCTCAGAAGGGAATTGTGTCAATGAGTGAATACAATTCAGCCATTATTAATTTCATGAATACCACCTGTGCTTGTCCTGACTGAGAAACGTCAAAAGGTCCTATGTGAAAAAGGTAAATTGAGCAGAAGTGCAGCACTTACCTTCAGACAGGTCTGGACTCTCTACCGGCTTCAACCAATTAGAGTTAGAAGATGAAACCGAGCCCAGGGTTGACACAGATGTCGCAGATGAGGAGGAGGATAAAGAAGTAGAGGTAGATAAGACAGTCTTATTGGAGACTGTCCTTTCTCTTACGGGCGATAGAGATGTTGTTTTATTATCTACAGGTACACTGACTACAGTATTACCAACCCGCGAAGCTTGGGCTCTTAAGTCTAAATCTTCACCTTCATCATCTTCCACCACCTGGAGTAAGACACCAAAATAAAATGTGTCACTGTTGTAATTGATTCTGCGCCGTCAATGAATAAAATGACCAAAGTATTCTTCAGACCTGAATACGACGAGGATCAGCGCTGATGGGCAGCGTGAAAGTGTCTCCACGCCCTCGGCCGTTGCTACGTCTCTGATTTTCAATTTCATCTTGGTAATTTTGACCATTGTTGGTGTTCCCAAATCCATTATTTCCATAAACATTACCATTATTGCCATAGCCACCATATCCATTGGTGTTCTCTCGATTTCCACTGTTTCCATTAACACCATGGCCATTGTTGCCATTCCAGTGTACATTTGTAATGCGATTGTAAATGAGAGCGCCATTTTCATCTTCACAAAACTGGTTGACGAGTTGAGACTCCAGTGCTGAAAAAAGACATTTAGGAATCAGTTAGGCAGCAGAAAGCATTTATAGCTAATTTAATCAACGAGCTACTGAATTATCACCTGGTAGAGTATTGAAGTCATCAATGAGGTACATGTGTTCGCTGTCGGGGTCGGAGGCAATGAGGTTGAGTTCTCGCAGGAACTCAGTCTGCGTAGGATCAGAAGAATTGACGATCCCCAGCGCGTACATCTCGATGTTTGCAGCGTGAGCTTCCCTCACGGCCAAGTCAAGTTTGACAGGCTCTCTTTTGTCAGTTTGACCGTCGGTGATGACGATGGCTACTTTCCTGACTCCGGGCCGAGCGCTGAAGAAAGCCTCCTGAGTGGCCTTTCGGATGGCGGTGCCGGTGTAGGTGCCCTCGCCCATGTACGGCATTTTTCTGATTGCCTGCTTAACGTCTTGTTTGCTCGTGTGGCGGACCAAGTTGAACTTCAAATGGACCTCCAGACTGTAGAGGACCAGTCCAATCCTGGTGGCGTTGCGTCCAACTGTGGTCCGGTCGACCAGCCTAGTGACAAAGTCCTTGATGATTTCAAAGTTCTCGGGGCCGACACTCTCAGAGCTGTCAATGACGAACACGAGCTCCATCGGCCGTTCTTTGCACTTAATGCCACATCCTGGGAAAAATGAAACACATTAGCAGCTCTAGATGTCTGGAGTTGGTTGAGATCCAAATGGAGCCAAAAAAATATTAGACTTCTATAACAAATGACAAATTTAACTCCTTTCCTACTTTTTCATAATTTGGCTCTACATTCATGAGTATTGCCAGTTCAAAGCAACTATCCTAATAGATATATCAGATTAACATTTGACATTCCCACATGTTAGATACCAAATAGTTAATAATGGTTAAACCAAAACACTGACTGGAAGTCTTACCACAGATTTCTTTGATCAACCTAATAATGTCCTCCCTCTGAAAAGAATAACAATAAGAATATTTATATTTATATCAAATCACTCCTTTCGAATGTTCAAACATTAGTTGAGTCATTGAACTCACTGTGAGTCCTTGGTCTCCCTTTGTTCCTGGCCTTCCCTGGAATTGGAGAAACATAAAAAAAAATGTTCCAGTCAGCCTGATGAGACTTCACATGATCGGTTTGATTATTTGTTTCAGGAAGCGACAAATGTGATCTGTTTTACTTACTGCTTCACCAGGGACTCCATGATCACCCATGTCACCTTTTATACCTTTCATTCCCCTCTCACCCTGTGAGCCACGATCTCCCTGCAGCAAGGCAATTGTTGTTGAGCAAACAGAGACCAGCATAAATTAACCAAATGTTGATGAGTCAATTTCCTACCTTAGCTCCAGGAAATCCATCCCCTTGAGGCCCTCTAGGCCCAGTCAAACCTTGAGATCCTGGCTCACCCTGGAATTATACTTTTGATTTATTGAATTTCCACACTCAGTAGATCATAAATTACTGTTGTTTTGTCCTGCAGCTAATTTGTTTGGCAGATCCGTAACATGTCAGCACCAAGTAAGTACATCATAACGCCTCACTCGCTGCGAACGAATACAAATGAATCTTGATGATAAAGAGCTTGGTAAGTTCTTGAAAGACAGTGTTTATGTAAAACAGTGGTGAGTTACCTTCGGGCCTTGAATACCTTCTCCTGTAGGTCCAGCTGGACCAAGTGGTCCTGTCCTCCCAACAGGACCCTAATAAATGTTTAAAAGTAAAGACACAACTTGGTTACGAAAATAAGTTTGCATATAGACAATAAACAACCCATCATCAAATTCTTCTCACAGGGTGTCCTTGTAATCCCTCTCCAGGTGGGCCGGGTAAACCCGGCAATCCCCTAAAGCCGACGTCCCCCTGAAACAGACACAACATTATCACATTCACCGTTAATATACACCAGTACATACAGACATGCAAAAACCCAACAGACCATAAATAAATGTAGACACTAACCTTGGAACCAGGAATTCCTACTCCTTCTGGACCAGGCTCACCTGGTAATCCTGGCAGGCCAAGAGGACCCTAGAATGAGTGCAGAAATTAGATCAGACGGTTCTAGATTGAACAAGATTAACTGGTAGCAGGAATTTAAATGTTGATGAAACAAACCGTGGGGCCGGGGATGCCGTCACCTTTTGGACCAGCTGAACCCGGTAAACCCGCAAGGCCACGATCGCCCTGTTTTAAGAAAATGTAGTGACGAGAAGGAGTTGAATGACTAAATCCTCTGCGGGTTAAGAGTTAGGAACAAGAAGATTATAGGTGCTCCCAGTATTCACACCTAATAAATGCTATAGAAAATGACAGTTTTTCCGATACCTTTGGACCAGGTAATCCATGGCCTGTTTCTCCAACAGGACCAGGGGGGCCGGCTGTGCCTACATCACCCTGGAGACAATCAAGTCACGCTGTTGACTTGTAGCAACAACTTTGAAAAATTTCATCACATCAGAGTCTGGCAGCTCTCCCGGCTGCCTGTACCTGTCCAACTCGGTGCCAACATCTGTGTGAAGAGACAGTTTGATGATGATTTGTTATTTATTTACCTTTGGGCCTGATATGGAACGACCTGGCTGTCCCTGCGTGCCCTGCTGGCCGTTTATCCCACGTTCACCCTGAAAAGTGAGGTTTGGCAGGAAACTTAAGATCCATTTCATCTCGTTTACGCAGCCAATTAATCTGCAGCCAACAACCTGCAGAGAACTTGTTTCTTTCTGTGGCATTAATCC